AATGCAACCTCAACTAGCCCAGCATTATTTGAAATGCTCATATCTGGGGAAAGCCCTTAATTTATAAACCAAATTAAGGTAATGGAATTCATTCTGATTCCCATATAACACAAGTGTCACTAAATAGCTAGAAGACTTACAGCTACAAATTAATGATATTGCACATTTCTGTTAACCAAGCTTTTTTGCCAAGGATTGCCAGTAAAGTAGCTTCTGGCTAAAGTTAAACATTTGACAATTTATATTGAGTTAAAAGTTAGTGCATTGCATGATTCTAGCAATTAAAGACAAAACAGATGAAATTCTACAATAAAGCAGTCTTAGGGATATTTTATTGTTAAAACTTTAGACAAATGCTAAACTCTCAGACAATGCATTATGAAGTTATGTGTAACACTACTCTTGAGAGAAGCAACTCCTCCTGTGCCCGGTGGGCTGATACATGATAAAGAAACTGTATTTTTACAGATCTTCAAAAAATGTGGCAAAGCCAAACTACTTACACAAAGCTTAGTACAATAAGAATTACGTGACTAAAACTATTCAGAGGTCTATGCCACTTGATCCAGACTCACTGTCTCTACGGCATTATTAAAGGAGACATTTATAGTCACTAAAATTGCTTTTAGCTCATTCCCTGCCACCAGTTTCCATCTCAACATCAGGATTTCAATCTGTAAATAAAACACAAACAATTCCTTTCCCAGCAGAATACACCATATACCATCTATTCCCAGATCTGTTACTTTGGCAATAAGATAACTCGTTAGCCCAATGCACACAACTTAAACAACTCAGGAGATATTTAAAAAACTACAATTTCAAGGTCTTTTGCACTATAGTGCTGGAAATATGTAGAAGACTCAGATGGCCTCCTCATCCACTGTTAATCCCACTCCTGTTCTCAGTAGCTTGTGATCTTGTTGTGTTCATGTTGATTTAAGAGCTTGTTGGCTGCTCACCCACCTACAAAGCAAGCAGCTGCATTGAGTATACACTGAATTGCAAAAGGACCTCAGTACAAGCCAAACCATTCTTTCAGGTCATTCAGTTCCCCAGGCCAGTATTTTGTATTGTCAGAAAGCATCATGATGATGTAGAAACATTCTGGGCTTTACTATCCACACAATTTCTGTTTATGTCAGTTTTGATGTGGACTGGAACTCAGTCATCCAGGAGTGAAAAGCTGTAAATGAAAATACTGATTAAAACTCTAACACGAATCTCTGCAGACCTCTAAATTAATAAGTATTAATATTCATTGCAATAAATATTTGTATTTAATATTTGATCTATTCTTTTAAATATGCAGCATCTGCAGGTTATCACAGAGCATAACAATTTCTCCAGAGAAGCTAGCAAATCTCTAAGAGCTACTGTCAGAAAGATAGTATAAAAATTGATAGCTCTGCTCTACAGTAGTTTCAGAACTGTCAGTTTAATGTTGGTGAGGGTTTGTGAACTTCAAAGCTACCTCTTTCTTCACTGCAGAACACATAAACACAAGTTTAAGTACAATACCTTCACCTATCCTACTTTTCCTGCATACTGTACATACAGATAAACAAACATGACTAAATAGATTATATGCAGAAGTTGTAGAACTCCTCATTTTGAATCAGACTTTTGCGGTGATACATTAGAGGGGATTCTTTCAATGAACTGAGTCCAAGGTAATTTGAAATCTTGCATAGCTAAAGAGCTAAAGTCCACACACAAGCGTTTTCTACTTTAGTTTTTCATGCAGCTCAGTTGTAATATGAATCTTGTAGATTATTACTCCAGTTATCAGACAATGAAGACCAGAACTAGTGAAGCATCTCTTGGTTAACAATACATAGTGTAAACTATGCCACCTACATCTTCTCCCACCCCTACACAGCCAGAAAATCTCCCAGACACAATGTCCTGCCAGAACTGCCTTCAGCAGTTTCAGAACCTGTGGATCACATCTAGTCTGTGCTGCCCACATGCTACTGAGATAACATGCACGTTGACAAAGCAAACAATTTGATTCCGGTGAAAGATACACCTGATACCTTACCTAAAAACGTGCTAAAGTTATTTTTTATAATTAAACTATCTGCCAGAGAAATTAACCATTTATTTTTCTCCAAACATGGTACTAGACACTTACTGTATAAATACCTACCTCCTAGGTCGAGGGAGCTATAAGCTACTACACTGATGTAAGCCAGGTCTGTAATGCCTCTATGCATTAGCTGTTTGAATACAAAAAATTGCATTATACTATATATATTATTCTATATTATTGTATATCCTCATCAATCTGGCAAACATTAAAGATCTCATGCAGGCTTTGTACAAGTGATGGTATAATTCCTTCATTAAATCCTCTACTGGATAAAATACCGTTTGAACTCAATTCTTTACAGTACTTTAGATACGGAATACTTCAGTCCCCTGTACTCCACAGAGATAGGATGATAATCCTGCAAAAATCTTGCTGAATCTCTCTGGATCTGCCCTTGTTGCATGCTGCCAAGCGCATTACAAACCAGCCATATTAACTCTCCAAACTCTCAAAACATCCAGCATGTCTTGAATTTCACTCTACCTGATCTTTCTTAAAACAACACTATGTGTGATCCTTTATGATACCACAACTGGAGCAGAACTGTTTTGTGCACCTTTGCAGAGCAAGCTGTGGTTGTTTTTTTCTTTATTTATCAGAATCTACAGTCATAAACACAAATGTTAAATAAAAGAGCATTGCCAATTTCTATAGTTGATGCTTTGCCTCTATTTGTCTTAGAAATAGCCCAGGCATAGCAGAAAAAAATCGAGATCGTCATGGCACATAGCTGCAATCTACAATGATGGACATTAAGTTATGACTACTTTTTCCTTAGTTTCCCTAGGTGAAGAAATAGAATAAAAAACAATTATCTAGAAACTGTTTTTACAGCACACTGATATAGTTTCCATGTGCAGAATCCAAAGCTGCCTCAATTGAAACCAGATGATCTGGACTAGGCCTTGTTTGGTTCCAAACTACTTTTTGAAAATACACCAGGTGTATATTCTGCTACACACTTCAAATGTGTGACAATGGGAATCAAAGATTTCTGATATTTTGCTTTGAAGGCAAACAAATATATCTAGTATATCCTAGAAATGGACAAACGTGTATCGAACTGACTCAACACATTTTTTTATTAGCATACTTAGTAAATTGCTTGTCACAAACACAGTAATGTAGTAAGAAAGAAGGGTAGGCTATTCATTATGTGTTCTTATTCTGAATGCACCTTTGCAGGATTGCTGTAGAACTTTTGCGGCGCCAAGGGAAACCCCCCAATAATTTAATAACGTATTAATAAAAAAAAGACTATAGATGTACTGTACTAAATTATAATTGAGTGAATGCTATGAGTAAAAAAACGGCACTCGAGTGTACAGTTAAATTCTGTGGCCTATTTCATTTCATGACTTCCTCTACCACTGAATGAGATGCTGAAGCCACACAACAGATGTTTCTTATCATTATGCAAATTTGCATTAAGTAAAACAATTGTCATATACATGTGCTTCTCTGCAGGGTCATAACAAAGCCATGGGAAAACGCACTGTAGTCTTCATAAGTCTGTGGGGGCTCTGGTTCAGGAAATGTATTTTTACCACCTTAGCAACTGTGCTCTCACGGCCATGTGCGCTGGATATGAAGCACGAGGAAAGTTTCGAATTCAAGTTATCGCTGTCGTTCAAAAGAAGCTGTGTTTCTTTGTAAAATAAGATCAGGGAGTGGCCATTGTAGGAGGAAATCAACCACTGTAACATACCAGGTTTGCCTCTATGAGATTTTTCAACCTTTAGATGGAGATAATTCCCTGAAATTGTTCACTAAAAGATTAAGTCTTACTATTGAAGTAGACAGCACCATAAAACGCATAACATTTTGGCTTTAAAGGTTGAAGACTATTAAGGCTACACCAATGGTACTTGGTAATTGCTCACTGTGGTTTTTTTTTAATGTCTGAAAATACATATTACTATCTTAAAGTTTTTCTGAAGCAATTAAGAAGTAATTAAGAATATTGGCAAAAAAGAAAAAAATCAGTATTGCTGGAGCAGGAGGGAGAAATGAGGAAACAATCCAGGAAATTTAATAATTTTCAAAGAAGTAACCTGGTGTACTTTCCTAGTTTTCTGATGTCTGACAAGATAAGAATATCAAATATTTGATCAAAATTGGATATGGACTGTGGCCAGTATTCAGCATATACATATCATACATTTAATAACATCCAGAAATGGCCCAATGAACCAACCTTTAGAAAAGAAGTACAGTCTTGTGTCACATTTCAAATTACTTCTTAAACCTACCTTCCAAATGGAAATGTATACATGCATTTTAAGAACATAAAGCTTTGCAAGAAAAAAAATATGTGAAAAAGCTTCTTCAGAAGCGTTATATAAGGCCGGGGGCGGAGGGGGTGTGATTCTTGTACTGGTAGAAGTCTATGCTAACCTGCACTGCCACTATGTAACTTCTGTGAGTGTGCTGAGACACCCGAAACCGACCAAGACAAATCCATGGCGGGCCTTCTGCGTAGAGATACTGACTAGGTCTTTTTTTTCTGCCGTGTGTGCAGTTTGTACGTCATGCAGAAATTAGCAAGAAAATGATGTAACAATGTGAAACCTTGAAACGTTAGCCAACCTGAAAAAAAAGGGGGGGACCCGGCCACAAATGCGCATGCAACAAGCTTGTGACAACGTTCACCCGCTTTATTCATAGGTCGGGAGTTCAGAGAGATATAAATCAGCTAAGTCAAATCAAAACCTGGTACGGTAGAAAGAAAGTCATTATTAAGGCTCACAAAAGAGTGGGAACTTTTTGAAACAGTGGGGGCAAAGATGCTTCAGCGAAGATGCGTATTGAAAAGCGACATCAAACCACCCGGATTCCGCGCAGTGATGCTCGAGGTCTACATCAGATTGTAGAGCATGTGTTAAGCTAATGAAACTTTACTTACTGCTATGCGCGTAGAATTCCTCGGTTCCCCTCCCGCTGAGTTCTGGGATTTCTGCTCTCCGTTTACTCTGCTGTTGTATTCTGGGGGCTGTTGCGCTGCAGTTTTGTGGCTTTTGTTTTTCCTGTTTCCTGGCCCCTGGTGCACTATGTTGAGTAGATGAAGCGTGCTTTCTCGCTCTCGGTCCGAGTTCTCCGCTTGACCGCGCTGGTACCGGCTTTCGCAGCTAGAATGATGCCGCCGGCACAGCTCAATTCGTGCCCTAAGCCTTTCCACGATGGCACTGTGCAAGGGCACTGCAGATCCTCTGGTACCAGAGATCGGCCCGGTCACAGCACCTGGCACCGAGCCTACCATGCCAACACCTAACATGGGCACGAATCCACCCGCCGACGGCTGTGGTGGACCTGCATCCCCCATCCTCTCAGTCCCACGACCGCAAGCAAATCCTATTCACGATTTGAAAGCAATTTTTTTTAAAAAGGACAAAGATAATTGTAAAGTGAGCCTAATAAAGTAAAAAGAAATATGTATCACACAGGATGCAAAAGTAAAAGCATTTTGTCCAAGGGTTTAGATCTTGCATGGCTTTGTAAGAATTCTGTCACTGCTTAAAAGACACATTATGTGGACACAATTCCAAATATCAAGTCTGTTATATGACCAAACAGTGAAATAAGACACATTTTGACGTCTTATCTGTATACATATTTTACAAAGTACTTTGTTGAAAAAATAACGAAGACAAAAGTTAAATATCCGATGTGGAAAAATTATGGAAAGATACAATAACGTGATTTTAAATCAAAACGATTTGTAAAAACTAAACTGCTAATGCACACTGAGCAAAAAAAACGCAGTTTTAAACACCCATCTAGGTTTAAAAACTGGTGTGCATTTCCTACACTGCCAGGACGATGCCTTTCTTAAAATTCTCTCTGGGAAAAGAAATATTTAAACGCAGCACTCAATCTCCATTCCCGGTGTGAAGAGATCGCCGATTTTTCTGTACACAAACTTAATAATATCCGCCAAAAATCCATGCACACAGTGTCTGATCCAACAAACTTCCAGCAGCTTTCACGGTAGAATTTTAGTCTTTGCTTTCTATTTGTAGCTGTCCCGAGACGGCGGAGATTCCCTCTTCTTTCATCATTAGCTCCGAAAGAGATCCAGACTATCAAAAGATGCAAGGTGGCGAGTCAAAAAATCGCTTCTAGCTTTTCCCTTACAGCCTGAAGTCAGCTGTTTGCCCGAACACTACCACCTCATTGCACGGAGATTACGGAGGCATTACAGTGTCTCATTGTGTGTTTTTTTAAATGTGTGAGATCGAGAAAGAAGGCGTTCATTTGCAGACTCTAGCGGAGCCAGACTGCAACTACACAAAGAAAGCGACTTGGGCAGAAAGAGAGCCTCCAGCGGAAAGCAACGAGACGGCAGTTTTCCAGAAAGGCTTTGGACTAGTTTTTGTGGTCCCCGTAATGCAGGATTTGGAAGGTCACACACTTTGTATAATGCGGTATTATGGCGATACATCTTACTTGTTGTTACCGTTACTGACAGTTTAAAGCTTCAAATTCCGATAATCAGACACTGCCTGTTGGTAGAGGAATTGTTTAACCTGGCAAAAAAGAAATATGTGACTTTGGACAATGCTAAAGAAAATGCAACTAAGAAAGAAATAGTAGGTGTAAGATATTGATTTAAAAAGTATGTGAGAATACATTCTGCAAGATCTACCCTCTTATTTATGAAGCAATTAAAGTTCCACATACTCTGATGAATTTTGTTAAATCTTTAACAGTAAACCATTATTCACAACACTCCCACAGTTGCACCCCTCCAGCCTCTCCAGTACTCCCTGAATGCCTTCAATCCTCCTCTCAATCAGTTTCTCAACTTCAGCTGGGCTTTTGTTAGGAGCCTGTCTGCTGTATGGATGATGCCAGCTGCCTAAACTCCAGGGAGACAGCCTGCTGTTGTGGACTCAGGGTCCTTGATACATATCACGCTTACAGTGTTCTAACAATAGAGTTTTCAACAACCATTTTTATGCTTTTTCGCTCTAATTTTGCTACATGTTTTCTTTGAAATGGGCAACATTTTTTAAATGCACTGATTTGAGTGCAGATGTAGGAATTCAGTTCTAAGTAAGGTTGAAGATGTCACCATAATCTGAGCCTTCACTGTATTTATTTCCATATATTAACTGCATGTATGAATAAACATTAATAAAAAGCATCATGGGGAAATTCAGATTTGTAAATACATATTAAATACATTTTACTTAAGGATTTGAAATCATATACTGTATCTTTTTGAAATCCTTTAAATTCCTGTTGTTTTTCCATATGAAATTCATTTATTTGTAGATTAGTTCAAGCTAAACCAAACTCTGGGTTATTACAGCTTGCCTCAACCTCTGACCATTGACCACTAATTATGCCTGGCCGCAATTAGTGGAGAATTTCTCCATTAGGAAACCCAGTGGCACTATGTAAAAGAAAGTTAATAGGGGCGACTCTAATCTGCTAATAAGAACCTACAGTACACCACCGATTATATACAAGTAATACTATTTAGACTGCTCAGAATGAGTGTAAGTTTACAACAACACAAAATTGAAAATAAAAGTGAATAAATTACTTTCAAGAGACATAAGAAAATTGGTTGTCTGTTAATTGCCCAGTGGGATTATAACAAGATATTCATGTTTGTACAATGGGATTCAAATAGGATTTTAGAATGGCTTTAATCTTCAGTCCTTTAAAAGGGTGCAAATCATATTTTAAAAAGGACATAAACAAGATCAAAGGGCTTTGAATTAAGAACTTATAAAGCTGCAGTGAATACAAAGGTTATGTATCTTTGAGGAAGATGTTTTTAAGTATATACAAGAAAATGGAGCCCAAGAGCCAGATACAAGCACACTCCTAAGACTTATGTCCTGAGATGGCTTTGAGTTAACCAAGCTGAAAACCCTGTGTTCAAAGTGACCATATAATATAGGTAGATGCAAAAGTCCTTGGTAGGTTTTAATTGTGTATCTAAATGTTAAAAAAATACTTCTGAATCACAGCATAAATATAAACATCTGATCCAATTGATGAAAAGTAATTATACTATTTTAAATAACCGTGGTAATTTACCAAATTCAATCATATGCTTTTTAATATTTTTAAAATTTAGAATGTAAAAAATGATAGGCTTAAATGATAAAAACCAACATTTTTCCTGACCTGAAACATTATGGAAATATTACTGTTTATGATACACAAAAAATAAACAAAAATCTTACAAGAAGAGCACACGTTTAGTTTTTTTCTTCACACTAAAACACAGTTCTACACATTCAATATCAGATTGGTATTTCTGCACATGTGAATACCTTAACAAGGTCAAAATAAGCCACATTTCAATGGGTGCTTGGTGGGATAATACATCTCCTATTCATAAAGAACATAGCTGGCAGCAACATCAAGATTTTTTTTTATTTGGAAATAATGCATTCAAAGTGCTCCTTAGTACATATCATATTCCTTTCCTTATTATGTGGTGTGGTAATAAAGGTGAGTTTTACATTTAAGAATTCAAATGATTTGTGCACAAGCACATTGTTACACTGATCTGTTTTATTTTCAGGACTCTCAGGTGGTTTTTCTAAGAAAATGGTAGAGGAAATGTTATTATTAAATAAAATAATCTATTTGCTTCAAGTCTTTAATTTTCCTAATTACAAATAGCATTTAATATTTCATATGTTTCAAATGTAAAAAAAAAACATTTAATTTGATCGTTATAACATTCATGAAATAAATTATACAATACTACAAAAGTTTGTTACTTTAACCTTCCGGGTTAATAATGTACATTGCATTCTGTTTCTCTGACACTGAAAATTCTGAATATTCTTGACAGTATATACTGCCGATATACTGATCATTTTAAATGTGGTTTTCAGTCTTCACTAAATGTCTAAGTCTTGGAGGTTTCCCCAGCTTGGACCTACTTTGACTTTCACCCGAAGTTTAACATATAATTTAACTGCAGATTCCATTTCCTTCTTCACAATCTGAGCTACCTGTGAGAGAAGAGCAAAAGAGGTAAAGTGTTTTTTAAACATGCTTTGCTGATACAATACCTGACCAGTGTAATGGATTTTATTTTGATCAGACTGACAAGATAAAAAAAGAGAAGGAAATTCAAAATACTAAAATATATACCATAAATGTCTTTTTGTACTCAGAAACATCTCAAAGTGCTTCAAAGCCAATTATAAAATCATCAAACCTATGGTATATTTAAATATTTCATTCTGAATTGCGATAGAACAAGAGTCTTTGTTTCTGTGTTAAAAAGCAGGAATGAATATCATGTGAAAAAGGATTTTATTTTCTTCTTTAAATGTCTTCATTACCATCAATGCATTTTAAACATGCAAATAGTACTGTGTAGTAAATAATAAAAATATTGGCAGCATTATAAGCCTGTAAAGATGCAACATTTCACCTATAACTTAACACAACTGGAAATGTAAAACATGATCTCTGAGACTTCAAAGAACACCGTGCATTCATCTTTTGGTGTGCATTCACCCACCTGAATTATATCATCTTCTACAACCTCATAAAAGAGTTCATCGTGTAGCTGAAGAACAAAGAACCCTCCACTGCTTGGACAGGAGTTCCCTCTTTGATTTATTCTATCTGTAAAACAAAAACGGGCAAAATAATGTGAGAGGTACACAATAAAACACTGAAGGACAATCTAATTACTGCACGTTTCTTTTAAAACATGTTGAAGCGTAATAAATCCAGACTTACTCTGTAATAGTAAGAGTGACTGCCTAAAACATTTTTTAAAGTTTTTATGAAACTAATTAGTATACTAACCATCGTGCTGTTAGAAATTCTGTTTTTAATTTTGTATAAGAAAAGCGACACGGGCTAAAATGAAGAAGAGAAAATAAAAGTTCTGAACGTGATACCTGCATATTTGAAATATTCCTGACTTCCTGTGTGTTCATGAGATCTAGCAGCTAGGGGAAAAGCTTCCTCTAAGCGTCTCTGGATGTTTACTGTTGCTGATTTTACTATATCAGCTGCAGATCCCTGAACGGTAGTATTTACAGCCTGGCGTTCAGCCTGAAGAACAAAAAAAAAAACACAGATAATATTTGTATTTATTTGAATAATAAATCATAACTGTTTTCAGTGCATTTACTTAAGGTTATATAGGTTTCTCTATTTTTTTTTTCCTGGGAGATATTTCAGCAGAAACCCCTGGAGCTAAAATCTATTCAAGAACAATAACTGAAACACTTTACCTTCTCTCAAATCTTTTACTGCAGGAGAGCCATAAAAATGTTCTAAAGCATTTGTTCCAGATCAAAAATCTGTAAGATGTTCTTTAATAACGGATTTGAACTGCTGAAAATACAATGTATTTTCTTAATTTTTAGTTGTTCTGGAATATTATAAGGTACCTATTTTGAAAAAGTGAACCAAGTAGCTCGGAAAATATTCATCATCCAAATACAAAAAAACAAGAAATGAATGTGTCAGCACTTCAACAATTAAAATTTAAAATGGTCTTATACAATAGGTACATACATGAGTTTTTATGTGAATGTTTGGGTCCTTGATGGCAGGAAGAAACCTCTTCCTCCCTAGTATTGTTTGAACATATCCATTTTTGACGCAGTTCTTTACTGTTTCTCGGAGGAAGGCTTGTATTCCTAGAGTAGAAAACATTTTGAAAACATGTTCTGAATCCTTTTATACAGTACACTATTTGCCCTTTTTCTCCTCCCCCCCCCACTTTTCTTGAAATTTAATGAAACAGGGTTAAAAAATAATTACAATAATCCTTTTACACATTTGAAAATGCTTTTACAATTCAATAAAAGGCCACTGTATAATTGTGAATTCGAAAAACCTCTTCCAATTACCTTATATAAAATACATTTATTGTTGTTACCTTTGAAATCACATCATTAAATGGCCTCTACACCGGCAAGAACAAAATGTTCTCTAAAATAATTACCTTTGTATCTGGATTTGAATGTTTCAATGTAACAGGCAGCATCGTTCTCATCAATTCCCATTTGTTCTCCAAGTGACTTTGCTCCCATTCCATAGATTATTCCATAGCAAATCTAAGAGTCAAAAAAGGTCATATTTACTTTTCCCTGGAAAGTACAAATCAACATAAAGAACATCTTGGTAGCATAAGCTTATTTTTTTTTAACAAGAAGCTAATGGAAAGTATTTGCTGTACTGCTCTCCTTTAATAAAAACCACTGCAAATATTCTAGCTCCCCGATTCACCCACCGCCTCACCTGTTTGGCCTGCTGTCGTAAAACGTCATCCACAGAGTCCGGGTCTATCATTTTCCACTCAGCAGCAATGCTCTTGAAGACATCAGCCCCACTGTTGAGGACCTGGATGAGTCGTCGGTCACAGGAGAGGTGAGCCAGAATCCGCAACTCCAGCTGAGAATAATCCGCAGCCAGTATGAGGCCTCCTTCATTTAAACAGGGAAAGCAAAGGTCAAACAGCAATAAAACACATCTACAGACATAAATACTGTAGTTGAGATTGGCATATCAAACCAATTAGATGGTCTGAGTGGCCTCCTTGTTTGTAACACTACATATGTTTCTAAGGCAATTTCTAGTTCCTTCTATTAAAATTCAGAATAATTAATTACTTTTGTTATAAATACCCAATTTGAAAATACCAGTTTTGTGTTTTTTGCGTGTCAGCTTGCAGTTTCATGCCGCACAATTGCAAAGAGGGGAAAAAGAGGAAGTGTGGGCAGTCTCCTTTGACCTCTCCACCTTCAAACCACTTGTCTTTTAACACATCATTGGCACCACAGCCCCATACCAGAGGTTCAGTGCAGACGGGAGGAGAGACGCATCGCTCACAGACCACACTGGTGAAGGAAGCAACAAGAGATCTCCGAGAAAGCCCTGGCTCACTTATCCAATCCACCCGGGACGGCATTAAGCCAATTGTGCGCAGCCAGTTGGGAATCCCAGTCAAGTCACTGGGATTGTCAGATGACGAATAAATCACATGCTTGCTTTATCAGTTGAGACGATGGCAGGCCGATACTTCAGTTTCGTAAATAACCCATATGTTTACCAGCTCTAACTCCTTTCTTCTACGAGTTCGTACAGTACAGAGAACTCATATCAATTCAGTCACTGAACATTTTAAAACATTCATTAGTACGCTAATGAATTGGTCAATATCTTGCTTAAGAAATCAAACAATATACAGTATGTCATTAGTGTATATTTCTCGTCTTGAAGATTTTAGCTATTTTCTTTTGATAGACACAATACTATCTTTTAGCTGTTCCATTTATGTTTTATTGCTAACGTGTTTGGAACTACAGTACTGCTGAAGCAGAATAGCATTCTATTTCTGTGCTCCAACCTTGCTGCTTCTAAACGACAGCAGACAGATTAATGGTATAGCTCAGATGGGCTGTATGTAAAAAATGTATTAACAGCTGACAACAGTTAGGAGGAAAAGGCCAGACTAGTCTATAAACTATAATAACCAGATAAAAGACATGCGACCTTCTGTCTGTTGTTGTGATATATAACCTCTCATAGCTTGGTCCAAAGGCAATCTACATAGAGAACACTGCATGTAAACTCATATAAATCATCACTTTCAAGTGTAAGATATGGAATATGAAGTCTAGTAAATTTATGTAGGTTGTTTTTTTTAATTTATAGTTATGTTTTATGCCTAGATCTAAAGTTTTTCATTGAAAAGGTTTACCTGGGAAAGGCACAAAAGCATGCCTCATGCTAATAGAATAAGCCATCCCTTTTTCTGGTGATTCGCCATCTGCTTTGACTGGTGGCACAGGATCTCGGGAGATCTTTGATTTTCGACTCCTTTAAAAATAAAGTTAAAGATAAAAGGCTTTTGCCAGTCATAGGTTCAACACAGTGCATTAAACCCTAAATCACATCTCTGAGTGTGTCAGTTCTGGGTGTTAAATGAGTGCTCGATTTAGAGATGGAAGCATTTATTTTTAAAATTCAAATGAGCTCCTGAATCAGGGTTATTGGCTACATTATACAGTTATAATTATATTATAATATATAATATTATATATTAGCAAAACATTTTGTTCACCTTGATTTTGAAAAAAGTGTGTTGCCTCGTTCCTGAGATGGGGGACTTTCTCCTATTAAAGTTGGCATTTCAATCGCAAAATCCTTTGGCACATTCTGAATATTGGGTTCAATGAAGGTTACTCTTCCTAAAATAGCAGAATAGAAGAAATAGAAGAAACAAGCATGGATTTCTTGATAAACTGTTTCTTGATAAACTCAGCCAAGACAAATTCTATATTGGATAGTAAGAATGCTTGAAAATAATCATCAACTGATAAGCCCACACATTAAACTGATGCTAAAGGAATGAACCATCACTCTCTATATAAAAAAGTGCATCCAAACAGTAAGAATGTAAATTAAATAGTTCCACAAATATGAGAAATTTATCTAAGCTACCTAAAGTTAAGCCAAGTCCCTTCAGTGCGTAAATCTCTGTCTCCCTTATCGGCCTACATTTAAGTATAGTTTTGTTCATATGAGCTTGGCTAGTTAGACCCAAAAAGTTTGAATCTCAACACATGGTGTCACCATTCATCCAGGGGCAGAACTATGCAAACCTCAAAACATTACCATCTATCAAGCAATTCAGATAACAGTGGGGATAGAGTGACACCAGTATGAGGAGGGACAAAAAATTCCCTGCCTGGATAATCAAAATGTACCCAAGACCAAACAATATAAACAAACTCAGTGTAATGTTTTGAAAGTAATGGAATGAAACGGAATTATGATACAACTAAGAAACATGGAAATAAATTAATATTTTATTGGCATTTTGTACCTGTGGCCGTGTGTGTCTGGGAGATGGGATATATTCGCTCCACCCCAAGCTTGGGATGCATGCGTTTTTCTCTCTGTAAAGGAAAGACCACCTTTGTAATGGCATTGGTTATTCTTCTCCACTCCAGGATGATGCCTGGTAAAGGATGCAATGTCTTCAGTTTCTCCAGAACATCCTGTACGAAATGAGACAAGAACCCGCTGTTTAGCAGAAACTACAACAATTTCTGGGCCCTAGTTTAATAAACATCAGAAGTCTTAAAAAATAAGTATTTTCGACTAATTAATTGAAGGATTAATTTAAAGGGGAAAATCTGAAGTTAAGGGTAATTTAGTTCTTAATGTCCACATAAAAGGTGCAGAACTACTGTACATGTGTAGTAGTAAATCGCCAGTCAATGTTTTGATAAAAAATAAGTGCTACGAATTACTTATTTTCTTATACTTACATAGTACATACATATACTTACATGGTAGATTACTAAGAGATTGTAAACATAAAATACCTTTGTGGTGCTGAACTGCTTCGCTATTTTGACCCGTGTTCCGGCAGTGTTCCTCCTGGTGTATCCCAAAGTCTTCTTATTTTTCTGGCCACTTATGTCCCCGTTTGGTGGAAGTTTAAGCTCCAGAAACAACACCTTCAAACAATATAAATCAAGGTGAATGATGAACAAAACATCCTAAAGATGGTATCTGGTAAATGAAACCAAATAAACCTGGGAAAATATCCTAATCTTCTGAACAGTGCCAGGAACACCATTTTTAATCTAATAAATCTTAAATATGAACCCTGTTATCGTAATGTCTTCATAAAATCCTTCTTGATCAGTAATATTATAGCATTCAAAGCTGTGAAACAGAGCCACCTGCTGCAGAACACTGGTAAGGATTTGCCAAGCTAAGACACTCTAAAACCATTTTTCATGCTAAAAACTATAGCTACTCACTTCTAAGAAGATTACATGTAAGGCATATTCTGACTTTGATGTTACCATATATGCAGGCACAGTGAAACAAGGATGTTAATTCCATACGATGAGCCATGTATCAGCAAGACAATGAGTATGCTTAGAATGAGGCTTTAGAAAAATTATTTTATTCTAATCTTGCCTTTAATTGACAATAAGATCTTTCTTGATAGGATGTAGGATGTATTTGTCTTACCTCTGCAATGTCTTCAGGGCTAGTTAATGAGAAGCTATGTCCAGCCAGCTGGTAAGCCTGGGACTCCAGAGCACTAAGCTTGGCTTGCATGACATATTTCTGTGACTCACACTCCGCAGTACTGAACCCAATACCATTCAGTTCAAGCAACACTAGACAGTACTGTGTTGGCATCTCCACGTTGCGAAACACATCTGTTGTTGGAAGTAAAAAGACACATTTAAAATAATTAACAAACCACAGTGGGAAAGAAAAAAATAATTCTGGAATATAGTAAGACTTACTCCCTTTCATGGAATTAAAGAGTACACAAAAGTATTAAAATTAGATTTTGCAATGCCATCTTGGTTTTCTTACAAGAAAACAATTACAATATAGGGGCAATTACAATTTCTTGCCACTTTAAGGCAGCTCCTTTTTACCTTTACTTTTTTTTTATTAGTTGCTGCACACTATAGTAATACATAAATTACATGTGATATTCTTAATTGAATTAACATCAAAAGCCTCAAAGAGACTTAAAGGACCTTGCAAGTTGTCTTTTTCCAGCTGTATATCGAGTTGGCTCATGATGCTGTGGACAAGGACAGACTCAATGGCAGCTCTGTAGCGTCCCGGGTGTTCATGGTTACCACTGATGCCCAGGCTCTGGACACCCTGTCCGGTGCCAATACCATCTAACAGCTGTAGATCTTGGGGAGCAAAGTTGGTGACCATGTTGTGGAGAGTCCGCTCCTTAGACCCAGGATCTAGCAACCAGCATGCAACCTAAACAGGAAATATTAATGGAATACAATTTGAATGAAATTATTATAGACATAAAGAAATAAACTTATACTCAAATCAAAGTTACGTAACACTGCACAAAAACATAATGGTCCAAACTTATTGCCAACGTTATCAATATACAATGGAATATTCTAAGAACAGCAAACGTGCAGCTGTGCAAGACAAAAACTGTGCAAACTAATACATTTGCACCTTACACACTATCTAATCCACACGTGCTCACCTTCGGGTCTTCGAAGCTTCCCTCCAGAGTGAGCCCACAGGCCAATAGAAGTGCTTTGTAGTGCTGTTTGAAGTCATATGCCATAATGACTCTCTCAGACCTAGAGGAGGAGTTGCTTTTCAAACAGGACTGAACATGATGTAGTCTCTCCTTCACTGAAAGGTTCGGATCCAGAGGTGGGGGCACTAAACTTGCACTAATGTCTGCATTAAAAACAACATAGAAATTAATTTAATTTTGTTTTTAGTAAATAGCTATACGCATGGTACACAGTGAGGGTACAACAACAGATGATCCATCACATATTATCCAGTATAGGATCTTTTACCTGTGTTTGCCTGTTCCTGTTGCAATGATATATAATAGACATCTCTTCCTCCCCAGCACACAGATATCCCAGTGACAACAAGATCTTCATTTCCCTTTATTGGAAACCCATCTTTTCTTGGAGTGTTTTTATGATTAGAGCAATCTGAAAAAAAAAAAACATACATTATAAATAAAAAGAAACCACTATACTGTATAAGAGTTTTGAATGATTAGGGGAAAAAAGCTATTCATAATGCATGTATGTTGTTCACTCCAGTTCCAGCAAACCTCTGAGAAATAAGAGTTTTGTCCTTTCAAATAACATGGATACATAAAGCATCCCAGTACCACATGTAGAGTGAAAAGTATATCAGTGTGCAAAATGTATCAGTTAAAGTTTCTAAATAAACATCAGTACAACTGTGGAAACATAACAGAAGATGGAAAAAATGCAGAATATGCGCGATATGACGGAAATAACTTACTAGGTTTGAAATTTCCTCCTATTGCTGAGTGAGTGGACAGAACATGCTCTCCTTTTTCACAAGCAATGGCAATGCAAAACCTTGTCTTAGTTTTCCATTCTTTTATGAACGTCTGGAAAAGAGTCAGATTGCTCGCCACATCAATGATTGTAAAAGTTTCCATACTGCTAGGGACAGAAACCAAAGGTGACACATCCTGAGACAACTGCAGTGTAAAGCCTTTATCAATTAGAGAATCATCCAGGTTTGATGTAGACTGATCTACATGTGAAAGAGGAGAGACTTTGCTCAAAAGAGCCTTTTCTTTACATTTATCCAATTTCCTAACAGATAAAGCCATTTTGATTGCTGGAGAGACAGCCTCACTTTGTGGTGTTGGTGGAATAAGTTCATTACGACCTGGTCCTGACTCCAGTTCTCGATCAAGGCAAGGGGAAACAACTTCACTGGATATTTGATTTGCAACAGCTAAACACTGTTGTTCTGCTTTCACTCTGTAAGGTATGTCATTCTTGTCTTGGTCAACCGTTACAAAAGCATTGACTTCAGCAGCCTTTTTGTCTGTTTCACTCTTTACAGGCACCTCATGGCTACTTGTACATTTACCAGACAGACTTGGCCAGTTATCCAGAATGTCTTGCATTCCTGGGCTTAAATGAAATGAGGTGGAGGTTCTGTTAGTCTTTGTTTCAGAGTTGGTTTTGGCTTCTTTGTTTAGAGTTATTTTCATGTCAGGTGTAACGCAATTTTTTGATGATCTGGTTTGTTCTGATGTCATTTCATCACCACTGCTAAATACAGCATTCAGTCTCTCAACAAAGAGAGCTTCGCCCATCTGAAAAGAATCTCCCAGGTCTGATATGTTAAAGGATGATTCTGCCCATTCCATAGGCTCTTGGTTAACAGCTTGTATGTTTTCATTTTCTATTCTTACAGGCACAGGAGGAAGCTCATTAACCTCAGCTCTTTCTTTGAAAGACTGAGACAAATCCTGTAAGGGCTTCTCCTCCATGGCATTCATGGAACTTTCGAAAGAACTGTCAAATAAGAAACTACAACTTCCATTGAGACTGTTATCAACAGCAACTTCTGAAGATTCAAGATTTCCTTTTGTAGGCTGGATTCCATTCAGCGGTGCACTTATTTTCTGTATCGGTGCTGGTGAGTTACCCGGCTGAGCTAAAGAAGTACAGTCGTCCAGAATATCTCCTAGCTGGGTGTCTGTCAGGGAGACATTATATTTAGAAAGAGTTTCAGCATGTATCAGATTTTTAGGAACAGCTTTGATTGGACATTTCTCTAACATTAAAGTGGTATTAGTTTGACTCGCATTTTTTGAGCAGTTCTCCAACAACTTTATGTTTCCAGAATCTGAAACTTTATTGGAGGTTTCTGCAAAAATTTGTTTTCCAGCTTCCGTCCCCAGAGAGCTTGGTTTCACAGCATGTAAACTGGGATCAGTAACCGTTATCACAACAGAATCTTGCTGCATGATTATTTTCTCTGTCTGTGTATCCAGTGGAAAACTTTCCTCAAATTCCTCTTGACCTGCTGCATATAGATCAGGAGATCTGCATATTTCTTGAGCTTTAAAGCATGGATTTTGTTCAGTTTTCCGATTTGGAACTGGATCTGATACACATCCTTCCAGAACACTCTTACTGTTCTGTGTCTTTGAGTGTTTTATATCAGTGTGTGTCTGCAAACTTAAAAGCATAGCCTCATTGGTACTTTTTTCAATTTCAGTTTCCGACGCAGTGAGCCCACAGCTGTTTTCAATGTTGCGATGGTTCCACTTATCCTTACATTTTTTTCCACTGACAGATGGGAAATTATTCATGGACACTGGCAGATCATTTTTGCCTTTGTTTCCAAGATGCTTGTGCTTAAGGAAACTCTCAGAACTCAACACTTTGTTTTTTTCCCTAGCGTTTTTACATTTAGGTGGACATTTCTGAATGCAATGGGTCTTTGAAGTGCCAGGTGCACTACTGTACTCAGAAACAACTAAACAATTTCTTTGATCAGATTCCATTGTTTTACTCACACATGATTCAGAAGTGACACAATCATCAGCAGTGATTTCATTATGCTCAACAGTCTCAGTTTCACAACTTCCAGTCTTTCTGCGCTTGGATACGTGGTTCATGGCAAGCTTGCTAAGATTTTCGAGTTGCAAATTTGAGGTGTCATCCTTCCTGGGGGAATTATGGGATTTTATGATTGTAGTCATTTTGACAGAGTCTATATCTGCAGTTGTTGGTCCTACAATTACATTCATTTCATCCTTTATTGCAAATTCATCAGACCTCTGACATATGGATGAGTACAATGAATTTAAATGTTGGCCAACTCCGTGAGATTTTGCATTTGAATTTGAAGATCTTTCACATGTAACTTTGCATGGTGCAGAAACATGATTAGTGGAGGCCTGCCCCCTAATCCCTGTAGAATCAAGCAAAATTGAGTCTTTTGCATTCTTCTCTCTCTTTGTAGTAGCATTCCTGGAATTGAGACAAACAGCAGAATCTTTGTCTTCAGGACACCCTGTGTCAACAGAAGCCTTAGTTTCATTTATTTTTTCTTTGGTTGAACCCTTTTCATTGCTAGCAATGACAATAAATGACTTTCTTAAAGGTGACTGCTCCTTGTCATTTTTTCTGCTGTTTTCACTCAGAATAAGTTCTCCTTTTTGCAGATGATCTTTTATGGAAATTAAAACTCCCTTTCCCTTGGTTTGTGAAAGCACAGAAGTTCCTGATGCCTTTTCATCAGATCCATCCTCGGCAACAGTTTGCGGACTCTCTGTTGTAAGGGAGTCTGGGTTCCACTGTATTCCAAGGAGGGCCAGGTCTTGCTGGAGGAGCTTTCTTGCCTCTGCTACGATCTGCAAAGCTGCTTCTCTTTCAGTCAGACCTTTCTTCCCACTGACCCAGATACAGCGGGTGTCCCTGCGCTCCTGGGCTTCATGTTCACTCTCATCCACTGCTTTACGGGAACTAGATAATAAGAGAAACATTAGTTTAAGATGGTATGGCAGGTATATATTAGATCTCAACACACATAAAATGCACATACAGACATTCTGAAAATTGAAGTCTATTAATCTGGCTAAGTCTATGCAGAGAAGCAGGCTTAAGACTTCCGGCAAATACTTTTAGACTTCAGAGGAAAAAAACATAATATTAACAGTTTATATATTATATTTATTTCCTCTTTAAATAAGGTATATATATACTTTTCAATATGATGTACAAATACGTAATGCCATTAAAAGGACATTTTCCTTATGGTGCCTCCTCCTTACAGATGCTTGTTTATAATGACAATTACAACCATAAGGACATGACTATTTCTTACATATACAGAAATCATCATCATCACAAAGATGAGAAAAGCTGTTTGTGGTTGCCATGAACTATTACTGACTTATTACAAAATCTCTCTTTGGGATTACCTTTTAAATGGGACTGCTTTCCTCAATGCAATCTCCACATCTGCAGCACTGGCTCTTGCCAGTTCAGACACAGTGATGAATCCAGCATTGTAGAGCGCTCGGGCCCTCTGTGCATTTAAGAGAGAGATCCTTACAAGGTCACACAGCTCTCTCTGAATGCCAAAACTGAGTCGGCTCTGGAACTGGGATAAGAGGAGCTCTAAGTTGTGCCATCCCAGGCGATTACAGAACACTGTGACCATACCTACCAATACAGATGAAAAACTTCACATAAGTTACACAGCATTTGTTTATGAATGCATTTAGGGTCACTAGGCTTAATTAATGGCAGACATTCAGCAAACCAAGGTCTCACCAGCATATGTAGAAGCTGACTGTTGCAGAGATTGAAGCTGTCCTCGACTACAGCTGTACTTCTTTGCAACAGTTTCAAGTGGTACCTCACTGATCAGATCCAGTAACACAAGACTGGTAAAAAAGCTGGAAGGGTAAGGTAGAATAAAGATGATTTGTGGAGGGAGGAAAAAAAATGAAATGTGGCTAAAAATGGAACTTTCAAGAGCAGTCTCTGTCTGGCCGTGAAACTTACAATATCACAACTGATCTAAAGTGAGAAAAAGAAGCTCATAAGTTTTGAGAATTGCTCACTTGCTCACTTCAATAAATGTTACTCACATAGTGATATAATATGAGAATTTTTTTACAGAATTTTTATATATGCCATATCATTAAAAAAAAATACAATTAAACTATAAATTATAAGATCAGCAAAATAAAGATTTTTGGTTTGGTCAATACAAGAAAAGGGAAAATGAGCTGATGAAAACAATATACAATTATCTTGTTTTAATCAACTAAAAACGTTAGCATTTTAAAATTAATGAACCGTAGCTCAAGTTAATATTATGAATAGCCTAATTTCTTTGAAGTAATAAGATTAGATCAAAGGGTATCATTAGGTGTTTAGATAAGACAATATTTAAAGGTTGTTTTTAAAGGTAAAAATGGTTGAGAAATGAAATATTGTCCCATTACCGTTTATGAATAGCCATCTGCCTGTGCTGTCGCTCTGTTTTTGCTATTATTTTTCCACCAACAGAACGAGCCAAGAACCCCTCTTCAATTCCAACCATCTCTGCTACACGTTTCATTGAAGTGGGCAGATGTTCCCAAAGACAGAAGAACTGGTACCAGTCAATTGTAGCCCAATCTGCACAGACCGGGGTAATCTTAATAAAAAAAAAATGTTTCAGAACCATGAAATACTTGATATGCTTTGAATCGATATTTATCCATTAAACAAAGATGTTCAACTAAGATACTATTGATTTTTTATTTAAACCACATTAAAAGAAACATTTTTTCAGAATAACATAAATAAATATTTGCTTTGTTACCTGATAGAGAATATGGAGGTCATTTTCCAGCACAAAGCCCTTCATTGCTCTCTGGAGATCTGCAAATATTCCAAGCGCTTCAGGAGGAGACAGGGAGGAGGAGAGGGTGGCTGCACCCAAGTGAGTGGGACAGTATTTCTCAACTAGAAGAAAAAAAGAATCTTTAACACTGAAGTTAATTATGCAACATCTTGACAAGTTTCATTTTTTAAACTGATATTTTTACAAGACTGCTCAACACTCTTTTGCTTGAAAGCTATGTATTATGTATCACATAAAATACTTGCATTTCATAAACTAAACGTTTTTCTTCTATTTCAAAACAGGGTCTAAGGATCTTCTCTAGCAATCAGCGGTGTATTTCTTTCGGTGTTTAAAACAGCATGGTAATGTGTAGTATTTCCCACTTAGAAACCACTCGCCAAGCCTGACAAATACTGTACAAAACTTTTATCTGGGGTAATATGAATAACAATAAACTGAAAAAATGCCACAAACACATACAACGTTTAAAAAACATTCTTCATATAATGTTAAGCTCTATATCTCTATATCTTGTTTAACATAAATACATTTTATATACAGTTTTAGGAATGCCTGTTTTATTTTTGAGAAACCAATGTAGGGATTTCTGTAACCTTTGAAAACTGACTTTATACAGACTTGTCTTATCTGCTTGGGCTTTGTTTTCCAAATACTGATATTTCATTAATTTCATATGAAAGCCAGAAGACTCACTTTTCTGTTCTTTGTCTCCCTCTTCCTGAATTTGAATGAATTCATTTTCTATGAGCCAATCCACACATGCCTCAATAGGGCTCGTCTGCTTGCTTGACTTCCTTTTCCTGGCAGTCCTCTCCATGTTCATCTCTCCCTCACTGCATCCTAATTCTGTAACATCTTTTGACAAGCTAGCAGCCAGCAGCGTACAAGAAGCATACATCTTCACATGTCCAGGAGTACTGGCAACACCCCCAACAATGATCTAGAAATAATAATGTGAAGTGTGTATAATACTGTAAAACATTAATAAGATATCCAAATGAAAAAAAAAAACCTGTAATGTTTTGGCCTTTATACGTAAGATAATTCGAAATAAAAAAAACAGAATACCAACAAGTTCCTGATTTATCTGTCATTCTGTGTTTTACTATATAAAGAATCAAACCTTAAAATCAAACAGTAATATACACTAGATTTCCCTAGATTAAAAACAAATATATAAAGCTCGAAGTATTATTATGAGAGATCTAGCACTAAGTTTAGCAAATAAAAATGTATCACCTTTCAAAAGCTATGTTGTTTGAAAATATGCTTTTTTTAAGGTTTGCTTTGTGAGTAAAACCAGAAGGTAATGCATCTAATTGTAATAATTCCTCAGGGTGTCATTCATTTGTATGAAAGCTATTATAAAATGAAGAAAATGGCAACTCATATATTTTAATGAAACAGGAAATAAAGCTACCTCAAGTATTGCTCGGATCATACTAGTGGTAACCCCTTCCCCCTCCTTCTTTATGAGACAGCTGCGGATTGGCTTCAGGGATCCTTGTAAGAGGGCTGTTCCTTTCGTTCTCTCAGACTCCTTGCACACAAGGATACTCTCACCTAAAGGGACAAAATTAATCTTCAAAAGAACAGACTCACCAAAATACATAAAGTAGCATAAACGGAAGAAAGTAGTTCAGGTGGGTAGCTGCGTCAGCATGCGTAGGCTGAAACGGAACAAGTAATAGGTTTATTCCATGCTGAAAAATAGGAAGAAAGAAAACACAACTTGTGTTGTGTCAGACACCTGAAGAAGGCTCCACGTGCGAAACGTTGTGTTCTTTTTCTTCCTTCTTTTCAGCATGGAATAAACCTAATACTTGTTCCTAAACAGAAGAAATTCTACTGAACTTAATTAGTCCAATGATCATTTTGATGCAGTGTTGATATCATTTTAAATCTCAAAAGTGCACAAGTAATTTGCTGCTTCTTCACAGAATTCAGATAGTTGAACCTACCCATACTGTCAACACCTTTGCGCCCAGCTCTCCCTGCCATCTGTTTGTAAGTCAACATATCCAACGGACGGCCATTGAAGACTGGTGTCCTTATGATGACACGGCGAGCAGGCAGGTTTACCCCTGAAGAAAGGGTGGAGGTGGCAACAAGGACTCTAATGTAGCCCTGCCGAAACGCACCTTCAATGATATCCCGCTCTTCAAAAGTCAGGCCTGGGGAATTTAAAATGATACAATGACATTTGTATATAAGAATCTATAACAGTTTTCTAAAATAACAATATTAATCACATACCAATTAATATCCCCACTGAATAGTAAGCTTTTCTTGGTAACAGTTCTTATAACCACAACTATCACTATATGTGATATACAAGTATCACTATGCAAGGATATCTTTTTTATTATTTCTTTCACCACAATGCAATTCTGAAGTCACGCCAAAATTGAAATAATATTGACCGCTGTGCTCAGGATCAAATAGTAAAATGTACTAAATCTCTTCAGGGAGTGAGGATAAATGTGAGATTTGTAGCTGTGCTGGGTAACCTGCATGGTGGAAAGCCACGCCCAGTTGCACTGTGCGCTTTAAGACAGAATCCAGGCCCGCCGGAGAGCGCTTCAGCTGGGCCAGGACATCAAGCAGGCCTTCCTCATCAAGGGACAGTGGTGGGACACTAGCATTTTTGTCCCCCCCTGTAAAGGACAATGACCAATAACATACATACAGCACACACCAGAGGAGTTTTATACACAGGCAGTGATACAGTAAAAAAAAAAAAACTAAATCCTACCAACTAGGTTTACAGGAACAGCTTAAGTTTTTTTAAAAAGTCAACCTGGCATTAACGTAATCATTGCGAGGTATATAGTCTTGTAAAGTACAGTACCATTGCTATAGCTTTGAAGTATCTGCAGAATGATTAAAACAAATAAAGAAAGAAAAACAAATTAATATCCTTGCCTTCAGCAGACTTTAAAGCTCTCTGGTGGAAATTATAGAACTCTCTGCCAATACTGTCAGCCAGCTTCTCACACCAGTTCTTAGAGGGACAGAACAACAAAACAGAGTGGCCACTCTGAATCGTCTCAAAGCAAAGGCTTACTATGTGGTCGTCATCGCCCTGCATGTGAAAGGATAGAATCAAAAACATAGATTTTAGTTATGACTGATGAATACAGACAGACATAAAATACAGGACCTCTACCAGGATGTTTGTGAGGGCACATGTACCTTAACCTACCTGTTTATAACCTCTTATAGCAACTTCAGAAAATTGCTAGCACCTCCATTTCATTACCTTAAAAAATTAAACAAAACCTTCCCACTTTTGCAGCTCTTAAAAAATCATTCTTTCCATTTTTACCTTGATTTGAAGAGCAGGTTTAAACTCCCTAACTAAAGCCAGAGAGCCATCATAAACATTCTTCCCAATCTTCACCCACTCCATCAGCGGCACAGGCCGGTAGTCAGTGTGGTAGAGGTCTGCGTTTAACCACTTGGCTAATAGATCCAGGTTCGGTAGGGTAGCACTCATGCCCACAATCTGCACCTCTTCTCTGAAGGATGGGGTGCTCTTTGAGGACTCTCTACAAAAGATAAGGTATTGTTAGCAAGCGACTCATAATAGATAAAAAAAACTCAAGAAATGAAGGACTGTGGTACTGAATAATTTGGAATTTGTAAGAAATTGCACATAGTACATATATGGAGAGAAATGTGAGAAATCAGACACTTATTCATGATTGCCATAAAAAGCATGGGCAAACAATAGCTACCTGGACAATGTCTTCTGTGTTACATAACGTATCTTGGTCAGCAATAGTTCCAGCAGGTACCCTCGACCGGAGTCCCCTAACATATGTAACTCATCAACCACAACAATTCCTAAAATTATAGTTAAACAGAGTGAAATCAATTAAGCCGTGAGGAACACAGAAACACAGAATAACCTACAGTGTGACCCTGGACTGTCTCGGTACTGAAGGTTGTGAAGGCAAGACCTTTAAGACTAAGATTACAAAGTGATTTGTCATTTGATAATTGAGTAAGGTAAATTAAGACAAGATACCAAAAGGCAAGAGAACTTTTCTATACTATTCATTTTTATATCCTATATAAAAAAAATAACCACCACTTCATACCATTTACTCTGTGATTAAATAATAATAATTAAATTACTTCTCTGCAGATGATGAGAAAATGTGATCATGAAAGACTGTTGTTCTTCCTGAGAAAATAATATAGGCTTCTTACCAAGAAGATCCATTCTGTTTTCTTCAATAAGTCTATTGATGAGCCCATTGGCTTTCTCAATTGTACACACAGCCACATCGAGAGAAGAAAATCCACCAGCGGCAGAAGTGCTGCCCATGTAACCTTCTACTCTAACACCTGCCTCCTGAAATATATTCTGATAAAAAACAGGAAAAATAAATAACCATCAATCAATTATTTTTTGCAAAGGTAACAAACTGCTATAAGGAAATTTAACAATGAGCTGACAATATACAATATCAAGAAAAATAACCAACCACAAATTCATCATCATTTTTGGTTAAAAAAAAAAGCATTACACGTGTATACAAACTACATATTTTGTGAAAAGAAAAAGCTTAAGATCATAACAGAATTAATACTTTGAAGGAAAAGTACCCCAAACTATCTTTAACCCCCCTCTAAAACCATGTTAAATGGAACAACAAACATTAATCCATGTCTGCCCTTCTGTGAAGGACGTGGTGCATTTAGATACGAAAAGTACAGTCTAGCAAATGACTCGTATGACTCCACAAATTCATGAAAGATCATGAACTTTACTTATGCCCTTTGTGATATTAACAGAAAGTAAATTGATTAAACAGACCTGAAGGTAATACATTTTTTCTTTTGCCACTGAGACAAAAGGAAGAATGAACAAAGCCTTCCTTCTTGTTTCCAGAACCCTCTTCAAAATCAATAACTCAGAAACTAATGTTTTCCCAGCACTGGTAGGAGCTGAATCAAATGATAGAAAAGGAACCAGTTATCAATGACCATGAGTTCTTGTCTTTAGGCAAAGTATATATATATACTACTGAATGATCTAAAACACATATGACTGTTTGGCAGGCTTCACTCCATTATTTTCATTTCCAGTATTACTATGCATGTGTATAATCATTATTTTGGATGGGCTTTATAAATAATTAGGGATTTTATACTTTTTCATAGAACATTGTGTTAAAATAACATGGCAGTGCAAGAACGTAATTTCCTAATAATTAAATTAAATCAGCAACACTAGATTAACTTTCTCATTAACTAACCACTCCCCTAAATGAACTTTAAAAAAACTATAAGCATTTACTTTATAACCCTGAAAGTACATGTAAATTCTTGGGTTGATAATACCTACAGAACAGAACTTTTTCAGATAATGGAAAGGTATACTGTATAAGGTATGAACGTCTTACATGACTAATTTTAATTTTAAAAATAACATTTATGAGAATTACCTGAATAGACCAAGTTCTTGCCTTCCAGTACCTGTCCTAAAGTGAGACACTCTGCTTGCCATTCAAACATCTGGACCACACCCAGTCGCTGGTACTTCTCCAGGACAGGTTTAGGAAGACCCCAGCTTGACAGCAACAGCTTGTCCAGCTGCTCAGCAGGTAAAGCCACATGAATGTTTTGTCCTGTAAGCAAGGTTAAAGAAAATTGCGAAGGATCTTCACCTGTTTGTCCCTACATAATGATACATTGTAACTACAACCATCTCGACTTCTGTTTGTGAATATGTGAATTAAGCTTACACAACAAAAACAAAATGCACTAAAGTCCTTTACATATTATTATTTTGATTGATCATTAAGGTCAAGGGAATAAAAAGAAGTCAGTCTTCTGCATTAAATAAATTAAATTATAAATTAAATTTGATCATTTTATTATAAAATCAATTATTAAATAAAATTAGCAAAGTATCTTTCCTGATCTGAAGATTCAAAATCTGAAGATCTAGTATCAGAATTATTTATATTGGATGAGAGACGATATAAAAAATTCTAGTTTGAAAAATATCCTTAGATTTTACTACAACAACCACAGTGTTACTTATTAAAGTACTTACATGGCAATACCCACACAGATCAAATCTTTACTCTCATCCAGAATACAATCCTGTAGCCCTACCTGTACCTGGGAGAGTGTTATCAAGAGTGCTGCAATTCGCCCTGCTAAAATCCAGCCCAGGAGGAGGTGTTAGCACAGAGGTTGACAGATTAGCTACTGGAAGCTGTTGAGACTGTAACTTCTTCTGGAGACCAGCAGCTATATGTGTGGGACTGAAGAGAATGTAGTCGTCCCTTGAAGTGTTCAAAGATGTGTAAACATTCTGAGAATCAGCAGCAAGTGTTTTTTTTCCAAATGTCCACTGCCGATGATTTTGTCCATGTATATAGGTTTCTGCTCTGGTGATTTTTTTTTTTATCAAAGAAGCTCGCTTACAAGATGATGGACCTCCTGAATCACTTGACTCCGGGCTTGATAAAGAAGATGGTCTTTCTCTTTTCTTCTTAGCTGCATGCTTTTCTGTATTGCCAGTACTGTGATCCCTCTTAAAAGAAGACTTATCGCTGTCTGTGTCCTCACTAAACAACAGTTTTTTAGCCAAGGCCTTGCTGTTTTCTGAAACTCTCGAATGAGTTTTAGATGGTTCTGGCTCCGATAAGTCTAAAATAGTTCTTTGATTGAAATGCCTTGTTATAGCTTGGCCTCCAAAATCTGATTTTGTATTGCTTTTATTTTTAATTCTGGTGAAGTTCATTTTTCCCTTTTCAGGATCAGCATCGTCAGTTTTGGTCACATAACTAGAACTATCCAGGTCCTTTGATTTTAAAACCACATTGGTTTTTTGACTCAATGGAGTCGTAACTGGTACACATGCATCCAGGGCTTGTAAGAGCTCTTCATCCATAGCCAAGGTTGAATCACCAATCCAAGTCTGCCTTGGTGTTGTCTTAAAAGAATCACATGTATACGCATTAAGACAGAATGAAAAATCAAAGCATGCTATTTGTGAAAAAAAAAATACAAAACACCTTTACCACCAAAGCTTTAAAAAAATACACATTTTCACAGTACATTTGTCTGGGAAACATTAAGAGAAAGACTAGAATCTGCCAAAAGTTAAAATACATAAATTCACGGAAGCAGTGTCAAAACAATGCTGACATACCTCTTTAAGGGAAGCTTCTCCATTGTTTTCTTTGCTTTCTATTTCTTTACAATGGAGATGTCTTGCTGGCTGTAGGCGACTTGAACTCTGTGGTGCCATTGTCTCAGCATTAGCTTCACGGTTACTTTAATAATCAGAGAGCATAATCATAATCAAAGGCAGAAAAGGATATGTGATCTTATTTCCCATACAAATCTATTTGATAATATTAAGTTATCTAAGTCTTCTAAGATCAGCTGGCATTTTTATATAACAGAAATATGTAAGATTTCACACTGTTATAAAGGTATCTATCTACTGTATGATATGAAAGTCAATGATATGGAATTAACACAAAATGCATTATGGCAGTTTCACAAAATAATGTTCATTTATAAAGAAAAACACAGAAAACAGTAGATAGAGTTTGGGGTCATACAACTTAGCCAAGTCAAGTAGTTAAACTGCATTCGAAGACGGTAAATCAGACATTTAACTTACCTCTTTTTCTTCATTATTTGGTGTTGTCCCATGTAAAATCTCCTTTTCGTGTCTATTTTTGACCTTTTCATTTTGCCTCCTGCTCAACGTCATTAAAGATGAACAACTAGGATGCAAGTGTTGCGATATTTTCTGCCCCTGATCCGAAAGGTTTCAGTTTCACATTAGGTCATAATTTAAACCATTTAAAATACATCTGCAAGTTAAAAATCGTATAATTTATTTATTTCATTTGTGCCTTTGTCAATAATTGATAAGATTTAATATAAGTACTGAATACTTATGCTTTGCTATATATTATTTCTCAATGACATGATTAAGATCCACAAATCAAATTCAGTCTTCTTACAGACGTTACCTACAACAGTCACCATTAAACGCCCTTGTTTTTACACTACCGAACTGCAGAATATAAAACGTTAGTGATATTTCGCCTAAACTAAACATAAAAGGCACCGTTTTCGCTGTAAATAAAATGCAAATCATCTTTTTTTTTACTGTATTCTGTATTCGTTATGGGCTTCAACGTCGTTCACAATCCTCGTGAATAACCTAGTAATAACGACACTTTACCCAAAAACCAAACAACTACAAAACTAGAAAACACAAATTTAAAAGTTCCGCCACTGCCATGGCTGCCTGGCAACAGAACCAGACGTGGTCCGACTACTAAAAAGATCCGGGCAACAACCAGACTATGGCCCAAGGCGTTCCTCGTTCCCTATCTCCTATTGGTTGGCCCTGGGTTGTGGGTGGTCTGCTGGGGCAGGAATGTTCCAGGAGGCGTGAGAATACAGTAGTGGTGTCACGGTGTTATTATGTCACTTGCGAAGCGCACCAGAAAGAACGAGGCGGCAGAGGAGAAGTGAGAAAGAGACGGGGAGTGGGGAGGAGAGCCTGGAGCGAATCATTCATTGGCATACGCTGAAAAAGTGAGATGTAACGGTAACGCACCTGTGACACTTTATTCCAAGAATGACATTAAATAAGACCATTCTTGAATTGCGTGGATGCAAAGAGGAACATAATGTCTATCATGTTAACGAGCGTGTTGTTTAAAGGTACGGGATTTTTGTGGTTTCATTTATGTGGCTTTTGCTAAAGGAATACAGATATGATTGCATTTATATAATTGATATATATATTTTTCTTTTCAATCGGCGCTTGTCATATTTCTTTTTCTTGTTTTTTTTTAAATAAATTGAACAGCATATATGGACTTTAAAATTATATTAAAATGTGCAGTCGCCGAAATGACTTTGTCTTTTTTGAGTAACGTCACAGAAATAGTTGCCTCACTCACGGTGCCCAGCTGCATACAGTTGCGCAGTTTGAAATTGCTGGGAAAATCCGATCAAACGCTTGAGTATTGATCGCAGTTCATTTTTAAAAACTTGGTTCGAGGGTTGTGCACGCTTTCACCTGAGAGACAATTTGAGTTTTTTTTTTGTTAAGGGCGATGTTCATACCTGCTTTTATTTTAAATACCGTGTATAAGAATGCATTCGTTCTGCTGCAGGGCGTAACGAGCGCATCTTCCTAAGCAGGGTAAAAGTTAATGAAATAGCGCAGCTGTTTATTCTGCCCTCACTATTGCTGTTTATCTAACTGCTTAGAAACGTCGGTAGTATCTGTTAGTATGATGTTTTATTTGTATCTTTGTTGGTGACTGATGCCGGGTCAGCAGACCCTCGCTGCGCTGTAGTTGGATAAAAGTACAAGATTATTTTGTATTTAGACCTTAGTTAACTCTTTCCTAAAATCCAAACAGGTCATTACTATTACATTGTTTTTTTTTTATGAGATGTGCTTAAAGTGTAAAAAAACCTGACCTCATTCGATTAGGTCGATGTACAAAATACAGTATATGCCCCATTGCTTCTTTATATAGGCTTTAATCCCAAATCTAAACAACACGAAATGTTTATATGCCAGTCAGTCCATTTCTTGTACCTCTATACATTAAGTCACGGCGAAGAAAATCGCTAACTCAGCAATTTATACCAGTTGCTTTGCTAATGTCGAAACTTGTATATTTAAATATAATTGTATAGCCACAGCAGACATGATTTATTTATTTAAATGTATCTCTCTGTGTCTCTAAGAGAATGTAAATGTATCTTTAAGAGAAGTCTTTGAATGTATGTCTAAGAGAAATGTATCTCTAAATGTAAATGTTTCTCTAAGAGAAGTCTTTGAATTTCTTGTCTGAATACACAGTTACTACAAATAAGCAGTTACTTCTTTCCAACATTCAAAGTCATTTCTAAATATACAGTATCAGACAGTGTTGCAGGCACCCTGTTTACAGTACTGTATGTTGCACACAATTATAATAGAATGAACACAAGATAGTAAAATCGTCTGCACCACAGATACAAGTTGAATCAATCCTTAATACTGTTTGTTTTGGGCCCTTTAAAATACAGGAGAGGATGTGTCTATGTCAGCTCTATTCTGGGCTTTGTGTTTTCTCAGTTGTATTATCTCAATGTCACAGCTGGCCATTCGGAATCGAGTGAGCTCTCAGTGATGCAGCACTTTGAGGTGATGTGCCGTGAAAGATACTACGTAAAATTAAGAAGCTGATGGTTATTATTATAGTAAAATAAGAATGTATAATGAGGCAGTATTAATATTAACTAGAAATGGGAGATGTGTGGATCCTGCCAAGCGAAAATAAAAACGTAGGATGTTTGTTTTCATTTACTTCAGACTGAGAGATGAACATGGACAAGATCCTGGAAGCAGTGATGATGTCGCCACATTCTAGAGCGGTGAAAGAGGGGATGGTGAGGCGAGTGATAGGCTCGGCCCCTCAGCCGCTTGACAGAGCACAATGTATGGCCATGTTCGATGTGGCCACCAAGCTCTTTTTGCTGGGTGAATCTCAGTTCAAACAAGATGTGGGGAGGGAAGTCTTGGAGGCTTTTGCCCAACATCATCAGCAGGACTTTGAAGAATTCTTCAACGTGAGATTTATCCTAGACCTCCTGCAGGAGGGGTATGCTTCGCTGGGCAAGAGAAGCCCTCAGATTTTTGACTACCTCCAAGTGGGGCTGCGCTACATCATAGAGAGCCCTTCCTCCGAAGAACTCTTTCACCTCCTGCAGATCGAAGTGCTGAGGATTGTGTGTGAGAGACCTGGCCCGGAGCTCTGTGCTAGAATCGCCAAGCTGCTGAACCAGTACCCTCAGTGTGTGCCCAGTGGCAACCTGCAGACTGTCTTCTGCCAGCAGCTCATCCAGACCATCAGGCTGTTCCAGTGTCAGTGCGATGGGGACGATGACATCGTCGCTTTCCTTGAGCATGTGACCAAAACCAGCGGCATGCTGCAGAGCGTCTGGAGAACCAACATGGCCACAATCCTGCCCTCCCTCAAAGAGCTCTTCATTGTCATTTCTTCTCCAGCAGGTGTGAGAACACATAACCAAAAAATGCATTCATTCATAAAAACACTGCTTGTATCACTCTATACTCCCATTATATAAAAGCTCTTAAGAAAATGATATCTGATAGACAAAGGTGATCGGGAGAACTTTAAATCCTACCTGCATTGTAAGACAAAGTAAAGAATGCAAATATGATGTCTACAGAAACATTTGTCTTATTTCACAACATATTATGGCAGGGTTCTGAAGTAGTCTGGGATTGTCAAGGTGAATATCTAATTCTGATTTGTTTTATTTATACATTTCCTACATAGTATATACAGTATGTGATACACTTGGCTAGAAAATTAGCTTTGATGTGATACGAGCGTAAGAAGCAGATTACGTAGCATCTAAGTGAGATGAGATTTATGTTTGCTAGAGTTCCAGTTGTTGTCTCCACAGCAGAAGGGGGCAGTGTTCCATCCAACGCTCTGGCCAGTGTGGTGCAGTACGTGCCTTTGGAACTGATGGAGGGAGTGGTACGAAATCTCACCAATGACAAGAATATTTCTGATGCACAGATGCTGATAGCCATCTGTAGGTAGGTGGAGACAGCAAACAGTGACGTGCTGAGCTTTTTTTCCATAAAAAATTAATCATGCTCAGCAAATGTAAAGGTGCCACTAGCCATGGCTGTGAGGATATGTTAAGTTACTGTAATGTAAATATTACTCATATTTTTAATAATAATATATGCAAGTGACCCTCATTAACACAAAGCTTGCAGCCTAGGAAACCTAATAACAGAAGGGAAGATCCTGATTTCTTCTATTATAAAATTGTTCTTATCCATTCTCGAACATATACAGTCATTAATGAGTAGGCTTCTGTACAGCTTGTGCAGAAACACTGTTAACATAATAGTGTAAAAGTCAGCATTAAATGCAACAGAATAGTGTACTGGGGATAAAATGGAACAGCCAATAATGAAGTTTTCAGTGCCTTTTTCCCTTTTTCTTTTAGAATGATGGACTGGCTGTCATGGCCGTTCACGAAAAACATAGACAAATGGATTATTGCCCTAATGAAAGGTGTGGCAGCAGTAAAAAAGTGTGCAATCCTGATTGAAGTGACTCTCACAAAAATTGAGGAGGTCAGTGCATTTCTACAGCATGTAATATTTCAAATGGGCTTAATATTCCAGATGGCAGAGAAATCAGAATCAAAATCATAATTATGTTTTGTTCTCTGGAAAGGTAGAGAAGGCAGAGTCTGGCTCCTTCTCTATAGCACAGCATTGACCTATTTGAATGATGGCTTTTGTACAAAAAAAACATATACAATTCATGTAGTGTGTCATTTTAGATATTTATAGTTTATATGACTATAATGTTTTAACTATATTCTGTAGTACAATACAATGCTGTTATTTTTATTGTAATTAGATGTTTTGTAAAGCGGACTGCACTATAAGCACATTCTTTTGTTTTTACAATCCCTTTGCAGGTTTTTTCAAAGTTGTTCTACCCCATTGTGCGAGAGGGGGCACTGTCCATGTTGTCATATTTGCTGCTCAGTTTTCAACAGTCTCCTGAAGCCTTTCACTTGGTAACTAAAGACCTACAATTGTTAACAGGCTCGAAATGTTGAACCACAGCTTATAGTAGTTTGTAGTGATATCAATGGAGAAAGAAAAAGCAGTCATTTAGTCCTGTCATTTAACCCATTGGCATTTCAAGGAATCCATTTGGAAAAAAAAAATAGAAAAAATGTGGATTTCCATTAGAAATCAGTTTATTACAGAGAAATTAACTCATCAGTTATTTTGCACTTTTAAGGTCTCATATAAGAGTAGCACCCCACCCCTAAAAAAAACAGAAAATGATGAGAAGAGATCAACCTTAACAGCAGTGATGCAGTGAGGAATCTGATGGTTAGTTTCTAGCTAAAGGCAGTCATCATTCTTCTGCACGGGAGACTTGGTCACGCTTGACTGTAGAGCCACTTTACTGGAAATGGAGAACCACTTGATAATACAATGGTCTGTCTCCTGCTTCTCCTCTTTCAGCTGCTTCCGCAGATTCCCCAGCTCATTTCTGCTCTCTCTGCTGAGGAGTCGGACTCCGCAAGGCATTGCCTTGCGCAGATGGTCGAGCTAACACACTGCCTCCTGTTCAGGTTCTCTGGCTTCCCAGACCTCTACCAACCTGTCTTAGAGCTTATAAAGGTCAGAGAGATGAAAAATCGGCTTTGCTGTCTTGCTGCGGTTTGTCGATCCAGAATTTTTATTCAGTATTTGCACATCTTGCGGGGTCACTTGTGGTGGACTCGTGATGTAAATCTGAAACGAATATGATTCTGTAATCATCAGTCATTCTAGTGCAGTCTATTCCAAGAACAGTGCAATGCATCACTTTCTAGCATAGGGAAATTTCCATTCATCTTATATAAAGTGGCGAACTTACAAAACCTTCTTTGGGTGATTTTAAATTATCCGTTATAGTTTCTCTTTCTCAGGAGGCTATAATTTAACTACAACAATCTGTACAACAAAACCCTATAAAAGTGCCATTTCATCTGCAGTTTTTAGGTTATCAACCACACAGAAACCTTCAGTAGCATTTGTAATGATGGACAGTAACAACTGACAAATAATTACTGAATTGCATTAAGGACACTTGCATTCCACAACATTGTATCACTAGTATATTGATCAGGCTAACACTTCAGCGTATTGAACAACATATTACCTGATTGCCTCTTTATCAGTATGCCTTTAAAGTACTGTGTGTTTCAAAACATTTTTACATTTTCACATTCAACATATCAGTTAGGTTTAATAGATACTTGTCTTGTGTCAGGATCTGCCTGTCCCCAATGAGGAACGGATGAAGCAGCTGCTCAGACAGAGTGCTTGGGCACCTCAGAAGACTGAGCAGGTTTCCTTCTGTCACAGGCTTGCCCCCAAGTCCCAGACAGGGAAAACTGGTCTGGTGAACCTGGGAAACACTTGCTACATGAACAGTGTGATTCAGGCTCTTTTCATGGCCTCTGAGTAAGTAGTATCATTGGTCTCCCTCTGTGCGTTGAAGAAAGGTAGTAACTGTTTCTGTTTTAACAAAGATAAGTGTAATTTAATATGATGAAAATGGAGTGAATAATTTTCTTCTTTGCCCGAAGTTGCACTTCTAAGGGATAGAATTTGTTTATACAAGTCAGACTGGTTTTTAATCACTTGCCATGCATGTATGGAGATCCATCACTATTTTGTTTGCCAATACCCAAATAACACAAAAACACTTTTTTCTAATAACAAGTCAGCAGATACTAAGCATTATTAAGACACTACTTTTGTACTCATCAATCTTTCTTCCTGGTACTCTGCATGAGCTGAGTTTTATCACAATGCCTTGAAAGCAGACCTATCCATCTAGATATAATTTATTGCATTTGTTTCATTTTAGTACTGCACATTTAAAAACATTTATTTGATAGGATCTTGTTCACATATTTTCCAATTTCTTTGTGGTTTATAGTCTGTTGTGCTTTATAGTCTGTTATTTGCTGTTGGCAACTGCATGGGAGCTCAGATCCAGCAATCACAGCTATTTGTAAAAGACAAAAAGGTTTACAATGAACAATAATGGGGACAGCCATAGATTATCTCCATATGATTATACCAGTAGATCCTAGTGAGGAAAGAATGCCCTAGAGACAGAGCCTATTGGGTCTTGTTGTTTACTGTATCTTCACTTTTGCAGGGATATTTCCCTTTGGCAATACTCTACTAAAAAGCAGTATGGCACCAAGGGCGAATGTAGGATCTGGGTGTTATCCATCTGTATCTAGTTGCCATAAGTAAAATGCTTTTGATCCAACACCTTCTTCCAGCAACAGGCAAACAGACGTCAAATGCCTATCACCAGTTGGGGTTGCTAAGCTACTGATTCCTGTTGCCAATAGATAATGATCTACACATTGTGGAGTCTCCTAGATAGGCAGGCAGAATCTTCATATTACTGCTTCTGACGTTTTCCATGAGAGCTATATGTTGTATTAATTATACAGCCCCAGGTGGGTTACATGTTACCAATGGATACAGTACGTGCTTTGAATTAATTCTTAGTGTATGTTTCAAAGCACCACTATTAAAATATATTTATTTTCTTCATTGCCTCAAAAATATCCTGTAATTAACAGTTGCAATTACAGAATAATAATAAAATGTTAAGTTAAATTCAAACTTAAGCTTAATTTTATATGCATTTTAAAAAGGTAAAATCGGTAATTTATAAGTTCCATTAATAGCAAGACAGAAATCATACTACCGCAGAGATAAGGGATTTTATATACTCGTAATGAAGGAAATGTTTTAGTTTGATAGCATTCAGCATTCAGCTTAATCAGCAAATGTTTAAAAGAATATAATGACCCCAGATGTATTCTTACCCTGATGATTTAAAAAAATATATAAAAACAGAATGACTTACAGATTACATAATTTGTCAATATAAAACAATGTAATTCTTTATCTTATAATCATTACAAAGAGCAAAAGTCATAATTAATTTCAGTACAGAAAATGTGAGGGTCACATTTATACACACTGTATAACTGTAGTGAGTATTTTGTTAATAGTCCTCCAGCCTGAATTTCATAGACAGAGAGCCTTGAGTAGTGCACTTCTGACCTTTTGGTTCCCTTGAATGAGCGTATTCAGATAACTCAGTTATTGTTTTATTTTGACCCTAAAAATGGTTTCAGTTGTCATTCAGATGTACAGTAGTTTGGCACATTTGAGTCATCACATTTTGTCATTTGCTCTCAGAAGAGGCTTCTTCTTTGCACCTCTGCTGTAAACTATGTAGCAGGCAGTGCTGAGTGGTAGTTTTCAACACTTAGAATCCTGAAGGTGCCAGTTTGTTGTGGAGATCTCCAGCTGACGTACAGTTTTACGGTCGCCTCCTGACGCACTTGTCGGACAGCCAAGATGAGATGTCTCACATCTGCGGTGACAAGATACAATAGCATCCACATCTTGGCAGGGTTGCCACTATACTGCTAGCCTTTCCTCCAGCCATCCAACTCTGTGTCGCGGGGGATGCTGGAGCCCATCTTGACGAGCAGCGGGCTCATTAACGGGGTACGCCCTGGATGGGACGCCAGTTCACACTACAGGGAAACTGGAAACCTTTGGTGGCCTGTATATCATTCTGCAGGCTTCCATTACACTTCCAAAGTGTGTTTAGTATAGATTTTTATTGGATTTTTACTTATAGAAATACTTGGAGGTACTGTATGGATACGTGTGACCCTTGTGTTGTCTAGAATTGTTTATGACAAATATGACTTTGCTATCTGCGATGTTGTTTCAATTATACCTTGACATTTTTATCAATATTTAAAAAAAAGACACATTATCCAATTTGTAATTGTCCTGTTACAAATTGTTTGTTCCTGTTACACTGGGGGTATGAAATACTCTGGAGGACATTACATATATGGTGGACACCAAAAGAAATTTACCACTTTGTTTATCTTAATGTATGTTTTTAGAATAATAAAGTATGGATTTTGGCCACTGATAACTTGTTTTACTCATAATTTGGATTTTGGTAGTCTTCTTATTGGATAAAATCACAGTATATCTGACAATATGGCATGCTTGCAATTGTACTGAATTATTTAAGTAGAAGTTGGATGTGGGATGCTCTTTAGCTGAAAATGACTGATGAGATTCAGTACTTAGAAGCAATTAGTCATGTCATCTTCCAATAATAGATGTGTTTCATTGCTGCGGTAAGTTACTAAAAATAACCTTTTTGCCTTTCCAGATCTAACCACTTGATCAGGAAGTTGTGAATATGAATGAGTAAATCGCTAATATGCTCCATTCCTTCAAATTTACCTTTCTTGTTGACACTGAAATTTTAAATGCCCGTTTATTCCATGTTGTATTGCCAACTTTATATTCTTAAATTTATTATTTTTATTTGCATGCTTCACCTTGATACATTTATAAAGAAATTTCATAAAAGAGGTAATGTATTGTTATTGTTTCTTCTGTATTAGTTTCAGAAGGGCAGTAATGTCTTTAAAAAACTGTGACCTTTTGCCTCTTATGGGAAACCTACAACGGCTCTTTGCTTTTTTGGAACATAGTCAGGTAAGCTTATTACAGATAACTAGTTCTACAAAGACGAGCTAAGTGCTTTGGATTTTAGTACTATAAATGTATGGATTCATTACTGCAATAATGCCTAACCCTGTATAAGGACATAAAGTGATTAAGTTTAGTATTTCACACACTTGACATAATATACATTGATTACATTATTCATTAAACCTAACAAACAAGATGACTTAGTTATCTAAGTGGTTGGATGTCACTTTGATTCTGGGCTTAAATATAGATATATTCTTCGTATTTTTACCTTACATCCAATTGATCTGTTTGTGGTAGAGTATGTGGCTCATTAGTGTAAATACTGTATATACTGTATAGGTCTTGTGCATTTTGCCTTCTGTAGTTGTTTGGTCTGCTGGCGATTTAATCAGTACATAATTTTTGGACTGCAATTCCTAGACTGCAACACTTTATTGACGAATAGTGGAAAAAATGTAATTGTAAGAGATTTTAGCTTTGTTGTGTGAGAGACCTTAATAGCAACATTGAAAACAGATTGTCTGGTGTTCTGGAAGATAAATCAGGGCATGTGTTTTTTTTCCTTTTTTATTTAAGCGTCCAGCAATTTCCCCAGATAGCTTTCTGGTAGCATCTATCCCAGCATGGTTTACTCCAGGAACTCAGCAGGACTGTTCAGAATACCTCAAATACCTGCTTGACAGGTGAGCTGCTGTTAGTATTTGTTCTTAACAGCCTGTGAATATGTAGATATAAATGTGTTTATCTATTCATATAAAGTAATAATGACCCCATTTATAAGTCAATATTTCATTCATTTTCAGCAGTGCACACTGACTTTGTGGTTCTTATTTTTTTCTTTGTAATGGGATAGGATGGTAAAAATTTTGCTTATAAAGTAAAAGAAGGCAAAGCAAAGTAACTTTACACCCTTATCTGTTTTTAACTGCAGACTTCATGAAGAAGAGAAGAGGAGCCACCAGAAGACAAGAGGTTCACTTGCTGGGAGTGAGGAAAATGGAACCCTGATCAAGAAGATGTTTGGTGGAAAGATGGTGACTAGAATCCGTTGCCTTCGGTGTCAGAATATCTCCCGGAGAGAGGAGGCACTTACTGACCTGTCCTTGGCCCTGCCTCCACCCGATCACAGCCCCGAGAGGAGTTTTATCATCAGCCCATCTCCTCCTGTGGTAGAAGTGATTGGACCGTCAAGCCTGTCTCCTTCCAAGACCCAAAGCCAAACACTTCTATCCCCTAAAAGAAACAAAAAGCTGGAGAAGCCTGAAGAACATGGCGTAAGAGTTGTTCCTGTGGAAACCATCGGTGACATTGACAAAGCTGTTCCTCTGGATTCAAATGAAGAAGTTGATAGCAAGTCCTTTTCACATGGTACTTCCGGGGAACCCATCAGTGGTTCTGAAGCTTCACTTTCTGTTCCAGACCTCATAAATTTCTTTTTATCCCCTGAGATGCTGACAGGGGAGAACAAATACCACTGCCAGAGGTGCTCCTCCTTGCAGAATGCCGAGAAGGTAGTTGAGGTGACTGAAGGGCCTCACTACCTAATCTTGACCCTACTGAGGTTTTCCTTTGATGTAGTGACCATGAGGAGAAAGAAGATCCTTGACAACGTGTCGATCCCTTTAGTTTTAAAAATACCCATCCGGGTTACCTCTAAAGACCCAGCGTCAGCTGAAGCTGGAAAACTGTATCCGGAGTCCAGCACGGAAGGTAGTGCATATGTCTCCATGACCTATGACCTGGGAAGTGTGGTAGTGCATTCTGGACTTTCTTCAGAGAGTGGACACTATTACTGCTATGCAAGGGAATGTGACTATGGGAATTTGGAGAAACAATCAAACACTGGGGCACACATTTCAAGTCAACAGCCCACTGCCGAAAACCAGTGGTTCTTATTTAATGACACGCGGGTCTCCTTTTCCTCGTTTGAATCAGTAAGCAACGTGACCACTTATTTTCCCAAAGACACAGCCTATGTCATGTTCTACCGGTTAAGGCCATCTCAGCATGTGGAGGCAGACAGAGAATGCATTTCAGCTGCTGATAATTTGCATGTAGGAGAGTCACTTCACAAAGAACTGAGTGAGGCAATTACAAAAGATAATACACTGCATTTACAGGTAAGATGGTGTCCTTTGACCTCTTTCCAGTCAATCTAGTTTATAGAGCTTGTGAGCTGAATAAGGTAACTACACTTTATGTATGTGATTTCAGACTTGTTTAGTTTCTGTATTAAAATCAGGTCAGGGTACTATAACTTCATTCGTGAAGGGCTGGTGTGCCTGCAGGTTTCTAAGATCTGTTTAAAGCACCGTCACCTGAAAAGCTAAGAAAAGCTCATTTAGGTTATTAAAAGACAAGTTGGAATGAAACCTTGGAGATATACCAGCATAAAAGGCATAGAGTTCAAGCACCCACAATTAGAAAAATCGAGATTGTTATCCTATCTGCTATACTGGAACCTTGTAGGAAAGGTGAACATAAACTAACCTTGCTCCAGGTCAGTTGGACACAGCCAACACACTGCCTGTTGTAGGCTGTATAAACTCAGGACCTTTCATAGATTGTAAGATATTTCCCATTAAAAAAAATCTCAAAAACTTAAATGACTAATATTTCTTTCCTTACGATTTAAACAGCAGTATAATGCATGAAAAAAAACCTCATTAACAAGAATGTGGTACAGTATATGTTTCACCTTCAGATGTTTGCAGACCAGATGGTATTTAAAATGCTTCAGTATAACAAGCTGTATTTTATACAGGAACAGGAGAGAGAAGTAAGACACAGAGCTGCATTGTCCCCCTCATCAGCAGAGGCACCTGTGTGGTTAAAGAGACCCAGAAGCCGTGATGAGAAAATAGGACACACAAAGTAAATATTGCTCTTGAGTTTTGTCTGTCTAAGTCAGTGCTGTAATCTTAATGTATTTTAACCAGTATACCCATTAATTCACCTGAAGCATTTATTGATGTTCCACATATCACATACTTTGTCAATATGACATGAGCAATGACAGAAGGAACATGGAAAAGCCTTGTTTGATATTTTATTTCTCATTTAGCTCCATTACTGTTCTCTGCAATTCAAAAATGGTGTTATGTGAAAATCATAATCATTACCTGCAGCTTGCTTCCACAGAAGACGCAGCTGGGAGGAGGAGCCTGGAAATTCAGTTCCAGTGGTGCACTCCTGAAGGCGGGAAGCCTCACCATGTGTCAGAGAACCGTTCCTCTCTACTTTGGAGAATCAGAGGACTTAGCCAAGAAAAATACTGCAAAGTGCTAAGAGTGCCTTTATCGGTATATTGGTATGTTGGTTTGGTTGTTGCAAACGTTGTGCCTAGCTTATTACTGCTCTTAAATGTATATTAACTATTGTTAAAATATTTATAAGAGAACACATACCTGCTAGCTACATGGCTTAAAATACTGTTATTTATTACATAAAAAGTGGTTTCCTGTATATTGAAGAAATGTGAAAATAAAACATGCTATTTTGACTTGGTGTTTACTTTTTAAAATTTGTCAAAGCACCTATCATTTACATATGTGTAAACAGTGAAGAAACTCAAAACATAGCAGTTGACTTAGTCATTTATTTATGGTTCTTTTGTTTTCATTTGTTGACTGATACAGGAATAACAATTAAGCAATATGTATCCCAAGTGTACCTTATTTTACTATTACCATGGTATTATTGTGGCATATTGCTTCACAAAAACCAAGACAGAGCATAAATTAGTTAGTAGAGCATTTTTTTTCCAATTTTTATAAATGCAAAACACAATAAATTAATAAATTACTTCACTAACTATCCACAACTGGATAAAAATGTTTTACAGTAGTATGATAAAAATGTACATCACTCAAATAACAATTTAGTAATGGGTTTAGGAACACAGCCTGTCTGAGCAGATTTCCCAGTTTAGACTGTCTGGCCTCACCAATTAAACACGGAACTTTACAGTGCTACATTTCTTAGTCCATTTGCACACACATACCTTTCATTTAACCTAGAACTATTCTTTTTAACACATTAAGCTATGTTTAAAAGTCACATCACTTCACCTTTATATAAAGCCATAAAACAAACCAATTCAAACATTTTTTTCATTATTAAATAACCCACCTCATCCAATAGAGATTTCAGCAGTTTGTGAAATAATTTGATTCCTGTTAAGTAAACCCTGGACCATGATTGCTTACTAAATTTTAAGGTGATGCATAATTGTTGTATAGTTTTGTGTATTTGAGTATCAATAGACACTACTGATTTTGAATATTCTATTGTATGCAACAAAATTAAATGACTAATTTGTTCCATACTTAAGATAATCATTTTTCTATTGCAGTCAACCATACACTACCTGAGTTAAAATCACTGGCTTATCACATCTTAAGTAACCAATTCATGCCGCATTTCATGCATTAGCCAGGATATGTACGCTTTCATAGAAGTCTAGTTTTGAAAACATCTCATTTCCAATTCTTACCAAACCACTTTAGAATTGCAAAGAATCAACACTGAACCACAGAACAAGTGTGTCAAAGCCAGTGTAGTAGTACCATTCAAAAGAAGACTGAAGGAACTGTGGACTTTTTAAAAGAAATTGTAGACTGTATGTATTGGTTTTCTCCATGGAAAAAATGGCATTTTGTCTTCCTAATCCACATTTAGGTTGGCATTTAAAATAAATACTTAAAGATTCCTACTGAAAATATCCATTGTGCACTAAGCCTTTAGACATTTAGTACACTGGATGAGTTGGATTATTAAAGTTAGTTTAAGACCAAAAGAAAGGTTGACATGTGCATAACATCACCATTTCATTCCTTTTTTACAGCTGAGACACCTTCTTTTCCTTTAGTACACATAAAAAGTGGCTTTACCTTGGCTTCTTTAAAGAAACATCTAAGTGAGATCCTTGGATCAATTAACTACTAACAAAAGGCTTAAATGGACCAGATGGCTTCCTCTTGTTTGTAACCTTATTTTCTTGTACCACTCCTACAAAAACAGAATTTAAACAGAAAAATATCAAACAAAAAACAAAGTCAAAACTGAAGCTTTTAAAACAAACATACTAATGTAAGCAAAATGGAATGTACAGTATAGCCTTAATGCTTTCTTTTCACATTTAAAAAATTTAAAATGATGTATTAGTGGTTCCAGCCCACTTAGAAATACTGGACCTGATTCAGACAAATATCAATGCTGCAACGAAACCCCAAATAAACCACAACTGAAAACTATTATTGCTACAATAAGTTTTCCTGAATAAATAAGCAGTGTCTGAGTTTCCAATTAAAACAGGTACTGTAAATAGTTCTAAATGGTGTGTACACTGAGTGAGAGTGCATTTCTCATCCTCTAAAGCACAAAATATATAATTACTCAGTTGCTTTCATCACGGTATTCTGGCTTCACACTAAATGTACAAGTTCTAACATACCCAGCCACATTGTCAAAGACAATAACCTAGCTTCTTTCAAGAACTGGTGGAATTAAATACTTGGATCAATTTGCTACTAAAAGCCAAGCAAGGTACTGCAGGTAGGAAAAATTGCTTTCTCTTATTTGTAAACGTTCTTATGTTCAGGAACATTTGGATGAAAGGGAGATTTGGATGGATCTAGACCATATCCTCCAAAAACTGCTGACAACTAAAATTAGATGGACCAAATCAGTTATCACAGTGGTGAAGATATTTCTAATCAACTGCTGTCTTACTTTCTCTTACCTACAGTCTGAATTCTAGAAACGAACTGCTTGTTTTTTATTGATGTAATGCATTTTTGTGTTTATTTTTACATAAAAATAGGCAAATGGGACATAAATAGTATTATCATTATTCCCACAACTTTTGAAATTCGTTTTTTCAAAAATGCATTGTAACATAGGATAGATACATGTTTTGGAAAGAAAAGGCTTAGCTGACATAGAGTTACCATTCTTTAGCACTTTTAGTTTAAAATGTATTATTTTGTCATCATGCTGGTTCAAACTGACAGTCCTTGTGCATAGAAAAACAGTGGCAGTTTGAATACACTTCACATAGTCTAATAATAGCTCTTATTTCAGTAAAACTACACTGCATTCAGCAAATAGGAATATTTTCTCTTTGGACATCAAACATTTTTATTCATTTATAGCTGCAAAACCAATATAAATGGCTTCTCAAGAGACTGGTTGACTTACATTTTCACCATATTTGACTGCATTGTGCAGAATACTTTTGTACAATGTCACCTGCTTCTTTTTGCAGCAGATGGCAATAATGTCACTTATGATCATTAAGAATTTCTAATTAAATTACAAGGGAGAAAAATTCATTTAGCAATTTTCAACAGAATTTACCCCAGCTTCTTAAACACTTATTATAGGTTTAGATTTAAAGATACCGTTTAAAGCTTTATTAACCAAATTGCAATTTGAGTTGTATTAGAATTTTTTTTATCACATTTTCGGGAAAATAGCTAAGTGATCAATGAACTTTGTAATCAACAAGATGGTCTGGGAGGACTATGTCTCTGAAATATGTCCCCAAAGCAAAGAAAATATATACCTTATCTCAGAGCCATTATCAGAAAATTTTAATTATTGATATTCTAAATCCCTCACATACCTTATAGGTAAGATGCTCACACTTCATATAACACAATTTTATTAGTACTAACATATATTTAAAATGATTCTACTTTGGTTAATTGATCAAATTACATTTCTAAAAAAGTACAAAATCAGAGACTTATTTTGAACATACTGCTGTGCGTGTACATATATAATTACACATACATACTGTACATTCAGAAGCATATGTATCGGTCCTCATGGGAATTTAAAAAAGTGCAAAACAAAACAGTTTTGTAAACAGAGAAACATTTTAAAGAATTATCTAAAAACGCATTTGAAATGTACCAAAATCATAATTTTCTTTGCAATATACATTCCCCTAAAATTGAAATTTCACAATTTGTGGGGATTTTCTTTACGATATACAATCTCTGAATACATTAAATTAACATTAGTATGTGCATTATTTTAAAATAATTTAATGATTGATAAAGAGTGATATATGGTGTGGCAGTTCTATGAATGAATTCATTTTTTTTTCCTCGAAAACTAAAAGCAATGCCTGTTCTCAGGTTTTGTGACACATTAATAATGGTGCAAATGCAAGTCAGAGTTCTCTCTCCTTTTGAAAAACACTCGTTAGCTTCATGTGTGGTGCAAACAAGTTGGTTACTGCTCCATCTCCATAAAATGTACTTTTTTTTGGGAAGATTACCTTTCGATATCAACAAAACAACAAAAATTGTTATTTCAACGAATGGGTTTATTCTGCTACAAACTGATTATTTTTTACTGAAACATGACTTATAGTCAGCTTATGGAGGTTTTCTTCTGAAAGCAGAAGACAGCTCTGGTCTTTAGAAAAAGTTTAGAAAGTAAGTCTGTGTTCATTTACAGGTACTTTTACTTATTCACTTTTCAGATTAGTATGTTCCACACATGCATAATGTGTTCGGCTTGTCTTTAAAAAAATGGCTTACTTATTAATGTTCTTAAAATTCTATGGTTTTCATTCATAATTGAATACCGAAGCCCCCGACTTCCTTTTTCTAAAAGAAAGATTACATTAACTTGAAAAAATTCTGCCTTGATATCTGTGGCCTGAGCATGCCATATACTGTACACGTTGCCTTTTGTTTAAAAAATGGACCTGCTGTTTTTTCTAAATATCATGTCAGAAGTCATCAGAATTTAGAATTCAGTTCATTCAAGCTTTGTTTACATTTGTATACATGCAAACTAACTTTGGAAACTGTTAGCTGACATTTGCACTGTATTTTTAATCTATTGCATTATCTATTAGAAACCAAACTAAAGAGAGCATAGTGCATATAGTGTACAGACAGTTTTTAAAAGGCAATGTGTTCTGTTGCAAAGGTTCACCTTTTAAGTACCCGAAAGCAGCATCCAGGCTGTAGTCTTGCATTGTTTTATCTGAACACAGTGAGAGAAGATGTTGCATTAGTGACTCATGAGAAATAGCACTTGTCAAAGCTTCTGTTAAGTATCTTTTACAAAAGTGAGCAACAGCCAGCAGTCATTAGATTATTTTTCTTTACGTACCAGGTACAGTATAAATTAGTCATGGCAACATGGATGTTTATTTGAAGTGAGAACATTGTGACATTGTGTCATATTCCAGCAACAGCTGTATCTTTCACTTTAGCTGTAGTTTACTGTCAAGACTTGACCCCCTTGGCCGGCTCTGTTGACTGGCGGACATCTGTCCATTCCTGCATGGTATTCTGGAGCGCTTGTGTCTTCTCCTTATCGACCTGCACGTAATCCACCTTTTCGTCAGAGGTGACAGAGGACGTGGAAGGCTGTTGTTGGGAGGGGGGAGGGACAGAATGACAAAAGCTGAAGGAATTGACCCATTCATGTATAAGAATGAGGGAATAACAAATGCTTGAATTTCAAATAAAAAACAAAAACATGTTTATAACCCATTCTAATCATCGTGCGCAGAGGTGTAGGTTAAGGGTGACAGGCTTTCTATGATGTTCCAATGTTCCTGCATGAGAGTTACCTGCTAGAAGTTTAGCATCATTTTTGTTTTCCACTTTCTGATGCAGCTTTGCCTAGGACACACCACTGACACTTAAATCTCACCCAGTTACAGTGAAGGAGAAATTATATCTAATGTTGTGCCACAATGCCTCATTACTCTTTGATCTTGAAATGAAATTCAGATACAGTTCTATTCCACCAAAGATTTGAATTCTTCAGCCATGCAAATGTTTAACTGATACAAAAAATAGATGTTTTTGATATTTCCTTGTCATTACGCTGGGCTTCCATGCTTCACAGTATCCCATCAAAACACTCTGTACCTTTCTGTGTGGACTGGGGGAACTCGGTTGGAAGTCCAAGGCAAGGTAGTCAACGTTTCCACTTTTCCTAGGTGCAGGGCTGCTCGTGCCACTCACTGCTGGAGAGGTCGACACTGGGTTTTGCTGTTGAGCAAATGAAAGCTTTGGTTAGCAAGACATGGCACTGATGGGAGGTCACAGAACCGTCAGTGCCCATGCTAATGGAAGCTTTGGCTGCCATGAGTTTAAGTAGCTCCTGAGATCAATTATAAAAAGATTACAGAGTGTAATACACATAAGAAGATACCCTTTTCTTTGTTGAAAAGTACTGTATGTCTACATCTAGCACTTCTGCCTAATCTTTGGGGCTGGATTTTTTTCTGAATCAGCAATGTGATAAACGGGCAGCATGGGATCAATCTAAGATGGTTTTTCAATGCCCTCCATCCATTTCCTCCTGTGCCCAAGCTCATCTTACCATTGCAACGTAGTTTTCTTCACTTTCTGTCGAATCCGTGCTGGTGATGCTTTGTGTGGATATGGGTCGACAGTGCTGCGAGTTCATGACCGGCCTGCAAGAGAAAACACAACCTGCATTACTCTTCCATGACCCCCTCTCCTCTGGCAGCGAACCCTCTGAAGTCCTGTCCTTGGGACCAAGTCTCCTGGTTAGAACAGAAGTGGAGGAAATTAACAAGGATACCTACATGGGCCTAGTCCAAGACATGGTGACAGGGGACTTGAATGGGAGCTCGTCAATAATAGCATTGTTTCTCAAGTCCAGCGGTGTTGGCTTTGCTAAAAACACACACACACACAGAGAAACACCTATTAATGAAGAAGAGAATGAGCATGAAGAAAGAGAAAACCTACTTTTTAATTCTTTTCATGTTTATGGTTTTACAGCCCTTCTGCCAATATGACATAGCCAGCAATTCTATCAGATTTCTGTAGCGGATTAAGGAAGTTGATGAAAATAAATGTTCAAAGTACGTGTGAACACAGCTACTCGACGCAGTGGTTGTGGAATGAATGATGCCGTGGAGCACTAGAGAAAACTGCAATTACAAAACGACCGCGTGCTTCCAGTCTCGGCTAGGCAGCGGAAGAAGCTCACAGATGGAAGGGAAAGTGAGAGCAAACTTTGATTTTCAGATGTCAGCGTCGGTGACGGTCAGTGTTGACGATTGTTACTTTTATTCGGCGAGTTTTTGACAGCGAGCAGTGGGTGTGGGGGAGCACTCACTCTTGCGGTCAGGTTTGAGGTTACGGTTGACAGGGGGAGGAGTGATGTCACTGAGCCGCCCCGGTCGGTGACACAGGGAGGCGGTGCTGCCTTTCCGGGCCGGCAGGGTAGCAGAGAAGCCTGGAAAGTCAAAGTGATGAGGCCCGGGGCTCATCTGGATGTAGACATTCTGGGAACTGTCAGCCAGAGAGGAGTTGAAGGGCGAAGAGGAAGAGCCCGGGTTCATTTGCACATAATTGTCCTCCGAGTCCCCACTGTCTGAACGAGCCTTTGTTCTCTGTAACACAACCAGGTGACCGGGTCTGATCATGGCGATCATAGCTTTTTTCCTGAACAAATGAACATTTTTAGTAATCTTTAGTAACCTGCTGTGCACTTATTCTTATTCCATTTTATCTACAAGGCAGTGATTATAGGGAGAGCTTAAAAACTGTGATTTAATAGCCATGCCATCCACACTTTTCATTTGTTTATATTCTCATTGTATAATCATCTGTATTATTTTGCATCTCTATAGAAAGTTGATAAAAACTCTTGGAATGTTAAAGCAAAAATCTTTGAACTCTAAGTAAGGCGCAGTGGAGAAGACCTCGAGACTCACCAGGTAAGAGCTGAAACCATCATTGACTGACTCCATAGACTGGCCGTTGTTGCCGAGGCTGGCCTGTTTATGATGGTCGTTCGTTTCAAAAGACGAGCCTTTTTCAGGAAAACAAATTGAAAAGAATAACTTAAGAGAATACACTTCGCCACATCACACTGCGAAAGACCAGACTGTGCTGCAAATCTTTTTGTTTCACCTGTTGTAATTATGTATTGAGAGAAACATGCAAAGGAAAAAACAAGTCAATAATATCTGATCAGAACTGATTTCTTTGTAAAGGCCTGAAGCCAGTAAACAAGGTTCCAAAACACAGCCAGTGTGGACCTAGGAATAAACACTGATTTCTGTTGCAGTCAAGCTCTCAATAACATAATTAAACCCTTCATTGACCTAATAATTGCAAATGGACTGGTGTCCTGTCCAGGGTGTATCCCTCCTTCTGCCCATTGCTCGCCGGGTTAGGCTCCGGCTCCACCGCAGCTCCCTGTTCTGGGTAAAGGAGTTTAGAAAGGGGGTGGATTGTTGGATAGGTGACTTAGGAACAGGACTAATTTGCAACTTTGTAATTGTTTTTGGTTCTAAAATGTGGAAGGGGTTCATAAGTAGTAAGGTTCTAATGGAGCGATTTCTTTATTTGATTAGGTATTCAATCAACTGAAAAGATCAGCCCACCCACCCCTGAGTGAGTCCCAGGATCAAAAGTGGGAGCTACAGCTCAACGCTGTGGAGGCCTTCAATGGCCCCAAGACGAGTTCGACCCTTCAGGCAGCTTGGCTACCCGTAGTGTTTTAAGAACCATGGCCATTCCAGGGACTCCAAAACTAGAAGGCAGCCAGTACTGCTTTAATTATTAACAATATAAAATTAGACCAGTGCCATTAGTCACACAGACAATTTATATACATACAATGAATAGCTGAAAAAAATAACTCCTGGCTGAAGCATTTTTTAAAGTGGTGCAATGAGTTAAATCTTTATTTAAATCGGTGGAACCAGTAGTCTATTCTGAACATATGATAAATGTTCTCAGAAAAATAAGAAACATTACACGTAATCCCTACACTGTATAAACTGGAATCAGGTGACATTTTAAAGCGCTTGGTTTTAACACGCTGCTACTTCTCATTTTGTTCTCTGGGAGCTACTGTAGGTCTGAGAATCTGTTATCAGAATGGCAGCTGTCAGATATAACAGCTGCTGTAACAGCTGATTTCCTGGGTTCTGGCTGAGACACTGGCCTGGCTGAAGTCTGGCCCCTTTGGCCCTGCCTGGATTAAGCATTGATCAAATCAGGAAGACTGCGTCTGGGAGCATGATGTTTGGCCTCTTTTACTGTTCATCGGCCTGGAACAAGTCACCCTGAAGCACTATGCATGGCTTGAATTTCATTAGGTTTCAAACACTGTACTGACCAGATTGCTTCTCTGTTTTTGATTAAGGGCAAACGTGTGTGAAGTCAAGATCGAAAAGGAAAGTAATTTGAAGTACATGAATTCAGTCGACGACAAGTGAAGATAAACCAAGCAAACTGACACTGATTCTGCCACATAATAAACAGGATTTATGAATAATCACTTTAAAGTTTATTCAGATTAGTAGGAATAATCAGTATTATTAAGAAATTACAGCTTGTGTGTAAGTAGTAAAACATTTTCAACGTGTCTAGTAGATATGAATTGTTACACAGAGTGATAACTAATCTAGTCAGAAATGACCTGTCAAAATGACTAGGATCACAGTCCAAAGCTTTATATTTATAAGAGAAACTGCTGTGCTGAAGCCCTGTTTTAGAGAAGAGGATGAGAAGATTAGGTACTGTACCTCTGTGTAATCTGATGTTCTCCACCGCTGGTAGGGTGTTTCTCCTAGGGATGGCAGACACAGAGGCCGCCTCTCCATTGGGAGCTCCCATTGACTTTGGGCTTCCCCACTTGACCTCTGAGCTGTGGCCTGGCTTGGGGGGCCGAGGAGGAGGTAGGCCAGGGGACTCTGAGCCTGCCGGCGCCAGGGCATTGTGGTTCTTGTCGAAGGTCCGCGGGACGTGGTAGAAGGAGCTGGCGGACACGTGGAAGTCACAGTTGTCAGGTGAGCGGTCACTGCGGGGGCCAGCTGGGGCGTTGTTGGGAGTCTTGAAGGTGTACACCTCGTCGGCTTCCAGCTCCAGTTCTGGCAGACTGGAACACACATGCCCCTCCGAACCATAACTCCTAGGCAGGTCATAGGAGCTGTCCCGTGGGGAGTCTCCAAGTGAAGACTGTTGCTGCTTGCCAGGCTTGGGTAAGCTGTAGAAGGTATGAAGCTGGGCACCCATTCCATTAAGGCAGTGGGAGAACCCATGAGAAATTTTCTGAACTGCTGAATCACTGCCCACTAGAAGATTGCCCCTGGTGGCCTGGGAGAAACTGGCACTCCTGAGAACACAGACAATCCTTGCTGTTATTGCTGAAATATGGTGACACATGGAAAACTACCACAGTCAGACTATGTAAACAAAGCAGGGGATGTTTGTGATCAAGTTTGTATAGAGAAATATAGCGACTTGCCACGCCAATTTCACATTGTTTTTTCAGATGAACTTATACTCACATGTAATCATTCCTGCTATATTAATTGACAGCACTGGTTTCTCTGGCCGTAGTTCTCACACAAGGGAGTCCCGAGAAAATGGAATATATGTCATATAGACCTTTGGGGACTATATGTAATGTACCGTATGTGACATGTACTAACAATGTGAACAGGAATAAAATGTTGCCTACACTTTAGATTTCTCTGCTCCCAACAGGATTCCTCCTCACTTTATATGCTCCCAATAAAATATATAAAATAAAATGAATAAAAAGAAGTATTGTGCCTGATATTTGCTTCATATGATTCAAGCATTCTCTCTAAATGATATAACAAGAGTGTTTTTTCTTTGAATCCATTTTTTTCTGTTAGTTCATCAGATTAAATTGATTGGTTTTCCTATGGGGGCTATATTTTGTATGCCTTAAAGGTTTAATTCAGGATGTGGGCAAGTTTAAGACCACACCTAATCAAAATGATTTTTTTATTAAACAAAGTCTTACACTGAGAAATAATTAAAAATCATAAGCACTTTAGTTACTTAAGCAATCATAAGATACTTCAGGCATAATGAAAAAATGCCAAAGTTACTTGTGTGTTTACTGTAGGTTTAGTTTATAATACAAGATTATCCTTCTAGCTGTATAAACCAGAGGGTTTAAGTTGTCTGTCTAGCACATATTTGCACAAAAAAGAAAACCTCACAAAAAAGCACCAAAATGAACTCTCAGCCGTAGACACAAAAACGTTAAGTTTGTCCTTAAATTATCATGATAATTCATTATAAACTATGCAACTTTTGACATCTGTAAAACTTGTTTACAAATCTTTCTCTCTAGCTATTTGAATGTATCGTTTATAGCGCTTTACCAGGACAATTTGCTGCATTCTTTTTTTTCATCTGTGAATGTATTACATGTGAGCTATTGTATAGCACATTGAGTTTTATGAAAACACTTCAAAAACATATTATTAATACAAGGCAGAAGCATAGCAGTGGAGAAATAACTGCAAAAAATATACTATGCATTAATAAAGAGGAGAGAAGATGACATATATACATTATAAGGTTTTTAAAACCTTTTTTGTTCAGAATATTTGTTAAGAAAACAGAAGAATCCATCATTAGACCACACCTACCCTCTGTAAAGAAGTGTTACTACATCAAAATACCACAAGGTGACAGCAGACACAGTCTTAATACTGAGGACTGAAAATGCATTGAAAATACTATGTACTGTATGTGCTACAAAATATCTAACAATTTGAATAGAAATAAAATGTTGCCTACACTTTAGATGTAGCTCGCAGCAGGATTTCTCCCCACTTTCCATGCTACCACTAAAATGCCTAAAATACAATAAATAAAACAAACTACTGTGAAACTATTTGCTTCTTTAGAAGCACGCTCTCTAAATGATATGACCTGGTGTTGCCTTTATAGAACAGTTCTTTTGACATCAAACACACACTGCCTGTCCAAATCTGCCTTTTAGATTTATCTTCTAACAAATTAACTATTTTGTTTTAAGTTACCAAGGCTACCACTAAAACTTTACCAACAGCCATGCAACTAAGCAATAAAACATAGGCTAAGCATTGGTTAACTCAGAAAGAGGAAAGCTTACCTCCCTTTCCCACACCAACCACATTCTGGCTGATGTCCAGGGAGACAAGACTTTTTTTTTCTCATTTGTGTTTTGTTCTATTTTTATTTCTTGTCCTTTAATGCTAAGTACACTAAACCCACATGAACTGAACTTAGCAGATGTATAACTCACATACATTCTGAAGTGTAATTTTATTTGATTTATAGGGTGCTGTTTCAAAAAACCTACTTTACAAACCTTTACTGTCACACAAGGATTTTACACTTCATACTAGTGGGCTCATTCCCATATATGAAATAGTGTTTAACCAAAAGCATTTTCCACTTTTAAATGTTTGCTCAAGAAATTGCTCCTTGACATTAATAAAATGATGCATTAGATCACACAAGAATATTTTATGACTGGAGTTCAGCATATCACTAATATGCCTTAGTGATGTTATGCTTTGACATCACAGCAGTATTTATATTTCAATAATGTAAATGGTGTCATAAGTGACAATCACTTTAAAATCATTTGCAAATATTTAAGAAAACCAAATCAGCTCTTTATTTGTGGACAAGGGCTTTATCCCAATTTGGCAAAGTTTAAACTATCAACTCGCACTCCAGTCGAAGGGTGATGAGTTGTCAAAAAAGCTGTAAGAAAACAATGACTAACCAGAACAGAGTCTGTATTTCTCTGTATTTTCCCATTCATTTGTGGATAGACCAGACTGATTTACCAGCACAATGAAATATGTCTGCTAGGGTCTTGCTACTAATGAGCAACACATTACGGTACAACAGGAAAAAAACTATCAGGGACTCCCGAGTTTGTGTTTTAATCCTTTTATGGCCTTCGCAAGGTTTAATGCTTGTTTTATATTTCTCAATGTTTATTTTATATGTTTCTATGTCTTAACATTATACCACACTTTGGAATATTATTATGGAAGACACGATACACAATTCCACTCAGGACTGATATCCTGACACCAGCAATACAAGCTATAATATGCTCTTTTTCTACTGACACTTCCATGTAACTCTTACACGCAAATTGGCAGTGTGCATCAGATCCTTTTGGATTTAAGACAATGACAGATAATAAGAAAACAAGTTAAAAACAAACAGGATAAGTGTCTTTCAAAAATATTTAAAGAGATTTTGAGCTACATGTTAAAACCATCATTGCCACAGATGTGAATAAAAACTTACACATACCCCTTCTAATTATTGTGAGGGATTTCTGTCTTTTTAATATGCTATCTTTATAATATCTATCTTCGTAATATTTTTAATGGTGACTTTTATTTAGTATAGTATAATAGTCACCTTATATACTGTACATATATATCACAAAAAATATGAGGCTTATAATGACGGGCACCATAAAATGCAACAAATGAATACCGGAAACAATAGCATTAGTTGCATTTGAACATTTCTAGGTGAACGTATTTTTATTAATTAGTTTCTTTTCTCATTTACATTCATTCATAAGAAGGAAGTTAACAACTAAGATTCTCTAACATTGAGAAACGGAAAAAAATAGACTGTCTTCCACTAAGATATATTCCAACATACCTACTGTATAAATCTAGGTCTAAATTCTGGGAAGAACCCATTTCCACATTTTAAACGTGGGGCCTTGAAGGAGGAAATTATAGGAACACCAATTATAGGAAGTGAGACTTTGGAGTTCTTTTTAACAACCTCATCCGTCATTACAAATCATTTTAGACTTTTAATGTGATTTAAGCTTTCTCACAGAAGATTTGCAATTCGTCACTACAATAGGCAGTACCTAATGACTTTAATTAAACAACAAAATTCTTTAAAGAGAGAAAGAGCATGTTGCCCTGTTGCCCTATAGCTGCTGAACTATGAGATACAGAACTATTTTTGAATTGCTGTGCGAGTTTTTCTATCCCATGTATACAGAAACAAAATACAGAATCCTTTGCATGAACTGTATGCCCTTCACCTTGGTATTTTCCCAGGCGAGTTAAAGGTTAATCTTTTAAAGTCAATAACACAGGCATGCTTTTCTGTGATTCGCACAGTGTTGAAAAACTCACAATACAGCATGTACAAGCAATCTGCCCTTTAGCAAAAGAACAGCGAAGCTTAATGAAATGTGAACAGAATATAGTCAGTGGCAGGGAGACCAGACCTTATTCCTATACTCAAAATATCTTTTAGTATAAATATCTTTTAGTATTTGTTTCTTTTAGTAAGAAACACTGTAAGTCGATGTAGCAAATATGAACTATCGGCCTTCCAACAAAAAAAAATGTGACTGTAATAGGGTTATAGGGTCTCACATTAAGACATAAAACATGGTAACACTGTATTTTGTGGTGGCTGTGATGATTTGCTTTAGGACTTCTTTCCAGTACTTTTTATAATTTTGAATCTTCTTGCTGATGAAAGACCCTGCAACAAACTATTCTTGAAGTACCGTTACCTCTAGGACTGAAAAAGTATAAAGGGATATAGTATTCTGGGAAGCACTGAAAGCTGAAGCACAAAAGTCCTCTAATTCCCATACTGCAGGTACAGATAACTATAAATGAGACATCAAGCACACTGGGATACCTATAATGAATCACTCTTTCAAACTTGTGACAATGATTTCTAATAAATTCTGACAAATAAACACACACATAGCATGACTACCCACATCCCCTACTACACCTTACCAGGTTATCTTCAGTATTTCCAAAAATAAAAGTAACAAGAAGAAAATACGTTTTGTGTATTTACTGCACTGAGAACTGGTCATACTCCAAAGAACATTCATAAGGTATTCACATTCAGAATTCGTTAGGAATGTATGTTTGTTTAAAGCCCTAGTTTTTTGTGACATCTGATGGCTGGCGTTAGATATCAAAATTGCCATTTAATATTACTGGCATGGCTTGAGAGTTGTGCCTGGATGGCCTGGATCTCTTCTCACCTGGCACCCTCGTTGGACTTGCTCATACACTGGTGGAGAAACAGGTAGTCCTGGGGGGCGCTGGTGGACAGGGTGTTGTGGGAGTGACGCTCGGGCACGTCAAAGGTGAAGAGCACCGGCTGGCTGGAGTGGGATGGGGCAGAAGATTTGCGCTGTCCAATCAGCGGTGCAATAGAGCCACTCAGGTCAGCAGGCATGGAGCGGGGCATGTGACTTGTTGTCATGGATCTTCCAGAATCTGCAACAGAAAGGCACATAAAAAAAAAACAACCAAACTGAAAATATGATCTTGCTACTAAGAGGCAATCAATCACTCCCAAACAATGGCATTTTTCAAATGTCATTCTTAACTACTGTGTTATTAAATTCACTTTTACGTCACTTTTATTTCCCCCGAGTCAAACGCTACAGTTATTGCATCATAAGGAGAAATGCCAACAAGTAACAAACCTTTTCCATGTAAAATGTCAAATGAAGGTCTTTCCAAATATCATTCCTCAAGACTCTGGGACTAAAACTAAAATTACCCACTGATATGAAATACAGCCAATATCTATAGTCAGTGAGGGAAGTTCTTAACAGTTTATCAAACAGCATCCTACTAAACTTCATAAATAAAAATTAAAAATAGATTGGAATACCTATTGTAAATACTGTATTGTATTTTCTGCCATTACTACAGAGTATTACAGTACCAAAGTCGATATAATCCAATTGATTTCAGTAATTTCCCACCAGGATCAATGGAGTCAAAGGGCAGGGAAATTCAATTCAGGATTTTAGAATGCAGGTTCCAATCCGACTTCATTCAATATCTTTCAAATTGACCTCTTAACTCAATCAATGGAGACAAGACAAGACATTTTTTCAGTTCCAGATGAGCGCTAGATGTCTAAGGACATAAGGCTTGTGTGATATTATCAAAACCTAGTAACATTCAGCCTAGCCTAATTAAATATACCTGTCTGTCTTTTTAAGTTAGTACAGTATTTCACCACATAAAGAAATTCGCCAAACTTTTATATTTTTGTACATCTCTGTTTAGTGTCTTGAATGTACTGTAATGGCTCAACATTCAAGATAACATCTTCACACAAGCAGATGCCAAAGACAAATGAGCACTGTTTTCTTTTTTTATCACTGCTGATTCATGTATTGTGGGTCTATACATCATAGATAGAAACAATTGAGAATATAACACTGGGAGTTAAAAATTCTACTCCCTAAGAGGTTGGGTGGGATAACACAGTTCCACAGAAAAACTCAATATCATCATGGTGAACACTGTGTGGGTGAGTGGAAAGTTGGAATTGCTTTGATGCAGTCATATTCACAGTCCCAAACAACAACAAAAAAATAATCGCTACTTTCTTAATAAAGAGGTGCCTGCAAAATCCAACATTTCAACATCCAAACCTGCAGGGAGGAAACTGCAAAAAACAGGTCTGTAGTGCTCCAAAAATAATAGAGATCATGTAAGAGCATCAAGAGTCAAAGGCCACATAAACTGGCTTTAAGAACATCAGGTCATATGTTTGTGACAAGCCATGCTAAAGCATTAATAATATTGTTAGAACTGAGCACTTGAATCTTTGTGAAATAGCCTTGCTAAGTAGAATGTTTTGTACATATAGGTCATTGCTAAGGTCAGAAAGCAACAGTCTTGATTTGCAAAGCACAAAAAGGACGATCATGACAAGATGATCGAGGCCCTAGGAAGGATGACAAATTAGGTTAGGGCTCGCCTGAGGCAGAGGGGCCTGTACTGGGATTAGACTTTATACCCCATGGACATGAGAGAGTGAATGGATCTGCAGCAGCAGTGGTTTCATGTCAGGGGGACATTGTTTAGTGAGAAAAGCTCTTTGATCTCGGCTAAATTATTCTATTGTTATCTTTGTCTGCTGCTCTCAAGGCTAAAGCTACACTCTCTGCAGAAGGCCTGTAAAAGCCCTAAACTCCCTAGGCGAGCCCAATCCAATGACAGACGTATTGATTTAGAAAAAAAAACTCGGCATGATGCTCCTCTTGTTCTGACCAGAGCACTGGAGAAGCATTAGCCTCTTCTGCTGAAACTGATCTGCTTCATTAGGCCTGAGATTGCATTCTCTTGTGGTCGAAGAACACACCTCCACGAGGCTAGGGAGATCTCTACATCATTATGATAAGCTTTAACAACGAAGTAGTGGGAGGGGGAGGGGTTGCAGGCATGGAATACTTTCAGTTAATGGACTCATCTTTCCAGTCCCATCATCAAACGGCATTACAGTAGAGCAGAGTAAAAGAGAGCAGTGGCTCGCGGTAGCTATCATGTCTCGTCACTGACGCTAATGGGATAAAAGATCAATCTCGTGATGGTGAAGCAATTTATACAGTGCTAGAGAGCCAAAATGCTTTTTGCTGGAAGAAAAATGCCATGATGTACTCCAGCGTCTGTTGTTATTATGAATTCTTTCTGGAGATGAGCACCACAAAAGCACGTTTTAAACTACCACAGCGAAAATGCTTACAGTATCCGTTTATCTTGTGTTCAGCTTATCAGTGTTCTTTAGTAACACCGTGTTTACCTGCCTGTTCATTTTGTGTATTTTGTGCTGTGTAGTAGGGTTGTTTTAATCTAGGAAACATTTTAACGATCGGCTCATTTACCTGTGAAGTGTTACACAATTATAGGGGTTAATTCCTCATCTTCTCACCCTGACTACACTCTCTCAAAAGTTGAAAATGTTTTAAAATAAGACAAAAACATGCTGCAGTTATGCAAACACATACGGTAATTTCCTTAACAGTTATGTAAAAGAAAGTACCACTAACACATAAAACCTGTGCTAATTGCATTGATGCTTTGGTGGTTCAATGCATTATAGGCTAGCCTAGGGCATTAGTAACAGACTTCTTCCACAGCTTTCCCATTAGGAAAAAAAAGCCTGAGTGCTAACTTAAAGTGTGTTTTTTTATTACTGGCTACTAACAGGCAGACATCTTTTCCCAATGGTTTTCAAGTACTAAATAGTGTCCCCATTGGTATATAAGAATCAATGTGTGTCCTGCCTATGTCCTTTGGAGGGTATTTTAGGTGAATAGTATAAACATGAATGATGTTGTGATACTGTCCTTGGTACTTCTTGAATTACTGTACTAGGCATTTCATACAGTAGTATAGGAATTTCAAATCTTATTGATATCTTCTATCTTGTTGTTTTGCAAGCCTTAAAAGAACAAAGGAATCTGATGGGGAAAGCCACACAGATCAAAACATCCCTAATGATAACTACAGGAATGGGCTGTATTCATACTCCCTGTTCAAGAACTTCAAAAGATATTTGGAATCTTTCTTTTTTCATTCCACGTTAACAAAAATGATAGTGGTGTGCTTTCTCAAGTCTCTTCTTTATGGTTCTCTGGATAGTATGTGACACAAAAACAATCCAAGGTGGAGCGGACAAAGTTTTGAAGTCTGAAGACACGCATGCAGTAAGCACAGTAACAAAAAATATCAATGGCAACAAACTGAAAATAAGCTCTTAACCAGCTGTAATGGCCCGAGGGTGCTGAAGTCATTGCTAAATATTTAAGAGGCCAATTTCTTTCTTTTTTTTCTATTTGAAGAAAAAGCTGAAGTTTCTTGGAAATTCTGGAACGATTCCCACCACAGTCATCTTTTCTGCACCTGATGGCCAAACTAACAGCTGCAAAACACTTCAGCTCCTTCAAAGGTTTGCATATAAAAAGATCACCGACCATAAAAAAGCAGAACTGTAGCAAGTTTAAAAATCTCTGTCTTTCACTTAACGTCATCTGTGCATATGAATACCAAGATCAAGGCTGAGGCAGGAGGCTAGCCACTAGCAGCTAGGAGTTAGAGAACAAAGGACTGGATTGAAGTGATTTGCTTGTGTGGGTCTTTATTAATAACACTGTGAGCTATCCTTCAATGGAACTCCTTCAATGGAACTGTTTAACTCCTCTGCTCAGACATGTGGGCTAATGAGTCATTTTGACACTTGTGCCAGTACTGTTCCCATCCAATGAACCACAAGCCATCTGGAAGGGCTACAGCATGTCCGGTAGCCAAGCTACTGGTGATAGTACCTTGAAGACAAAATTACCTCTACTGTGTGCCATATTGATATCCAGAAAGTCTGTCCAATGTCAGGGTTGCAGCCAGATTTCAAGGTGGCAGAGGGATGTTGAATTAAAATCCTCAGCCTTCTGTCACAGGGGATTTATATTTTGTCTGTAACGCTCATTTAGTTGGGTTCCATTTCTTTCAATATACACAACGTACATTATAAAAGAAAAATAGCAACATGCTCTAGTTGGCTACACTCCTATTAAAAGAGAGTAACAGCATACTTGAAACACATTTCCTGACAAGAATCACAAAACCATACTGACAAATACGGAATGTGACTTACTGTTTAAAATTTAGAAAGAGTGGAGTTTAAATCAAGAGATCTTACATTAAAATTATACCATGTTCTAGTAATACTGTGAAAAAGCTTGGTCACTACATTACAAAAACATATAGCTGCACTGAAGTGGTACAGGGAAGAGTGACCAGATGCATTCCTGAGCTCAAAGGTGTGTCCTACATGTACACTGACAGGTTAAAAGAAGTGAACCTTTTAATCCTGAATAAGAATTTTGAACACAATGCACATGTCAAAGGACTAAGATTCAGCAGTGATTTGAATCATTGCAAAGTCCTAATAAGAATATGCTTAAAAATAATGGTTTACAGTACAGGATTCACATTTAGCTTTTTTCTAAGTTGTCCAGTCAGCTCCACCCCAATATTCAGCTACATAACCTTACACAGTTCAAAGCTGCTCAAGGGAAAAAAAATATGACTAACTATACAAAACATTATTTTGGAAAAAGGACAGTACGGTGAACCTAAAATGTTTTTATTTTTCAGCTCCAACACCAGCTGTTTCCAGACAAATAAAAAGGCTCCATCACTAGAATTCTAGTCAAACTGCACGAGAATGAAACTGTGAATGAAAACATTAATGACTCCCCTATACCAAAAATTCCTACTCAAAAGTTTAGTCTAGATGTCTAATCTTGGGATCTAGGTGATATTAAATAAAAACTCAGATAAAAGGCTCAGACACCTGAAAAACTGTTCAGTGAGCTATTTCCATCCCTATCTAGCGACACCTATGTTTACCTTCCTGCAGAGACGTCTTGGACTAATAATGCCCATCTCCTACTTTGTGGGTCTTGCATATG